AGCTCAAAATTTAGAGTCTAAACTTCTTTTCTTGGATATATTTAGGGTTTGAATACAAAATTCTAAATGGGTTCAAGTTCATTATTTTGATGCCTTACAATTTGTATTTGAATTGAAATTGGCACTTTAACTTTATTGAAATCAGCATAATTATTTTAGACTTTTGGGCAAAAGAAAATTTTGTTCTTTCAAAACAATTCTGCACTTTCATTCCTGTAAAAATTTGAAAAGCATTTTTCTCTAAGTGAATCAATTTTACTAAAAGAAGCAAATGATACTAACCCAAAAACAAACTTGGCTTATCAGACCCCACACTTCTTTAAACACCAAAAAAAATCCCGATACAATAGGTACTTGACTTTTATATACCAATTTTCAATGTGAATTTTGCTTGGGGTTTTGACAACCAACTTGGCCCATATTCATGGTTAAGCATCACATATACAAGACCTGACAATTGCGTCCAATCTTTTTGAGTTTTCATAAAGATTCTGTGGTTCTGCTCGTCTGAAATCCTACAGACAGCTGCTACAAATACAGTTTTCATGACACTAGTAATTGCGCAGTCATGGCAGCAATTATGACATTATACCAGCTATGCTTCAATTGGATTGTTGAATTTGTTTACAACAAGAAGTTGAATTGTTTGGATAATTTGGGAAGGCAACAAAACTTTTCTGGAAATTTATCTTGTACTATAGACTGGATGGAACCCCTTTATGGTTTGTAACTTTCTTCTCTCTTTGCTGCAAGCTTGCATTCTTTTAATCAGTTTTGGTGGCATCTACTTTTACAGGAGAGCAGTTGTACCTTACAAGGCTTAGATTAGCATTATCTTTTTTTGCTTAAATTGGCTATCATTTTAAGAGCTGTCTAGGTCTGGTGCAACTTTTTTTTTACTCATTTACGGCAGACTTCAAGGATTCTATAGGGATATTAGTATCTCCTTTATTGTCTGCCATAGCTGTATGAAGCTATCAGTTTTTTGAGATGTCAATAAAGTTAGAACCAAGTGTAGAAATGGAAAACTTATGGGTGTAGAATGGTGAAGATAAGTGTATAAAGACATAAGGAAGCAAAAGTGCTAGCTAATACAAGTTATCTCTGGAAAGTTTGATTTGACACTTAATTAGTAAAGCCGCTTTTAATCTTTTTTCTTTTTATTAACTTCTATAATTCTAATAGCTTGAAGGGATGATGAACTGTATTGTTAATTGCATGAACTTTTACTGCTCCTACTTATTAACAATTGATGGATATTTTTGCTGGTTGTTTTTTCTTTTTGCCTCTGTGATGACCTGTTAAAAGTGTAGTTTTCTTGATGTGCTGATTTGTTTATATGCAGTGGATATGGAATAGCCGCACTGGCACTAACTGCTGTAATTAGGGCTCATGATGGTCGTGGTCCACATACCATGCTTGAATCTACCATTTTGCAGACACTTGGTCTTTCTTCTGCAGATGAACTAATTGGGTATTTATCTAATTTTGGTCTTGATATCTCTTTATTGCAACTATTTTTAAAAATCTAAATCAAATTGTTGATCAATCAAATATAGCAGAAAAATGTGAATGAATGTGCAATTAAGAAAGTTTTCATATTTGTGGTCCCTTGTCATCTATGGATTGATGCTTTAATTTATGGCTTACAATTGCCTCCTAGAATTTCTTTGCAGTTTGTGATGTCAATTAAAGGATATTAATAAATCACAAAATTAGTCCACTGAGAACTCATATTCATTTGCACAAATTGCGCCAGTCATTTTGTGTCCTTTTAGGGTAGGTTGAATTTTCATCCATAACCTTTCAATTTTAACATTATACTTCATGACCTATCATAAGTGTCACTATAATCTTTTCATTAGTCAAGCAATAAGAAGCCAACTAATCATGTAAGCAAGATGAGGCATGCCATACAGCAAATGTGGGGCTGGAAAAAACAAGGTAAATTGCACTTATCATCTGTAACCTTTCTATAGAATTTCACTTTCAACTAAAACAATTTAATTAAGCCTGACCTTTTAAAATGGTTCAATGTGATTAATCTTTTGTATTGCCATAAAAAAATGGACAGAACCTCACATGCAAATGTATAATTAAGTATTAATGAAGCAACCACATTATAACTCTTTTTGTTTTTCCTTTTCTTTTCTTCTTTTCCCTTTTTCTTATTGCCCCTTATTCTCTTTTCTTGCTCCTTTCTTACATGTCTCATATCTTTCTTTGCAGTGTCAGAAACCTGAACTGCTAACCCCTCTCTACTTTTCCCTTATATTCAGACCAGTTACCATGTTGCCCAACTAGCCTTGCTGCTGGCACCAGCACAATTCTTGATTTTCCTTTGTATATCCTCTTTTCCTCTTTTCTATTTCTCCCAAAATTTTTTCCTTGCTTTACCCCTCAAAGCTCAAAGAACTTTTAACATAAATCTCAAAATTCCAGAATTTATCAATTCATTTGTCTTATAAACTCATATTTTTTTCATGATAGACTAGTTATAGACTTTATTGGGTACATGAGTTAAATTCTGGATTTACTATTTTTTTTGAACCTTCATTTTCTAGATTACTTGCCACAGGTGTAATCTTAGCTCTTGCTTCCATAGCCACTTCCATACAATTTCTAATGGCAGTCAGTCAGATGGATGATACTGAACCACGCACAAGTGGTTACAGTGTTATGTTGCTATTGAAAAACTGATGGATGATTATGAAACTGCAAGAAAAGTCATGGATGACGAGTGGAATTTACCTTATATGTCTATCCTCTCTTGCCGCATGGCAGGCCACTTGTTGCTTATAGGGTCATTTTCGTCAACTTTTTAATTGCTAATTATAGAAGGATGATATGAACAAGATTATAAAAGGTCATGAGGTACTACATTTCAATTAAATGGTCATGGATGAAATGAAACTAAATTTAAAAGGTCTCAGATGATGGATGCAATATATCCTATTAATTTTTGTACACAGGTCTTTGTTTTTATTTTTTTGAACTAAATTATCATGTAGGAAGTTTATTTTCTCTTCTCTCACTGTTTCAGAAACTTCTCAGAAATGGTTTGGTAGTGTCACTAAGTTGGTAACATCAACTAAAGTATGTGGGATAGATTGATATAATCATAGTTTCATGGTTTAGTTATAATAAAATGTTGAATTTCATTTGTTTTTCTCTTATTGATTTAGGTGGACCTATGCAGATCCATCATGGGCTCGCATTGCAGCACTTGTTCCAGTTGTTGTCTCTTGTGCAGAGGCTGGTGATGAAGTTGCGAATAAGATCTTGAAAGAGGCAGTTCAAGAGTTGGCTTTAAGTGTAAAAGCTGTTGTTCAAAGACTTGGCTTGTGTGGTGAAGGTAGGGCATATCAAGCCAAATCTGAAATAAAAGGAGAATTCTTTTGTTTGGTTGAATTATTCCTATATACAAAAGCAAAACATTCTTTGTAGCGTCAGATAGTGCAGTATTGATTAAATTTAACGCAAAGATATTTGATTCTTGTAGAAATTCTGAATATATGGAGAACACGGGTTTATTTGTTATATCTTCAGACATAATAAGATTAGAATTGACTTTGTAGCCTAGATGAGATATCATGCTGGTGATTTTGAACATAATCGGGGGTCTATTCAAATCCAACACCCCCCCCCCCCCTCCCAATGGCATTGGTCTTTAAATATATTATTGTTTAGGTTGTAAGGGCAATTCTCCTGTGCACTTCTTGTGTTTACAAGTGCTGCATTTGGTTAGTATCTGCTTTATTTGGATTATAACCTTGTAATGTCCATTTCCCTTATTGTTAGGTCCTAATCTTTTGCATGCTCATTTTAACGCTGCTAAGCATTTTCTTATTACCATGGGTCATTCATGTAGCTGTTGAATCTTAATGTATTTTGCTAAACTCATGTGATCCCAAGTCATAACAAGTAATTTTCTATATTTTTATTTTCTCCCTTCATTTCTCCGCCATAAATTATTTGATTGTTTGAAAGCTTTATACAACCATGCAGTCTTCTTATTGTTACTAGTATTGTGATCATCAGTTCAGTAACTACTATCTGTTCTTGCGAAATAGCATATTATGTACTTTTGAAGTAATAATGTATAACTTGGAAATCTGTCCCTTGATAGCTCTGCCATAGGTGGATTAGAATATGCCAGCTAAATTTCCATTTTTATGCATCAATCCTTGCAGATGAAAAAAATTCCTTTCCTCTTGTTATGGTTGGTGGTGTTCTTGAAGCAAACCAGAGGTGGGACATAGGAAGAGAAGTCATGGACTTTATCTCCAAGGACTACCCCGGGGCCCTTCCAATTAGGCCAAAGGTAATAATAGTTAAGTCTAGTCCGAGTGGCCGGTACAAGTATCATCCACATTATTATGTTTGATGTGCAGTCATCATTTTTTTGGCTGCTTTACTGACAAAAGTTATCACATGTTCTTGCTATGAACATTAGCAGAGTGGAACTTAAATGGAGATGCAAAATGCCAAAACTGCTGTTTAGGAATAAATATCAGAGTTAATATCAGACCTGCAAAACATACAAGAAGATGAGATAAATGAATGGCAATTTGTTCCTGCTCAAGTGGGTCTGTTGGCTGGCCTGCACCATCAGACTAGTACTTTTGTCTGATAACTAATTGTCATGGCAAGTACAGAATCATTTGTTATGCCTTGACATGGTTTTGGGATGGGGCAGGTTTAAGCTGAACCTGCCTGCATGTAACTTTTCATTCTGTAGATAAGGATTATACACTATTACTCTGCCCATTAAATATCTCACGAGACACTTAATTCTTTCTTTAAGTCATTGCTCTATCCAAATTAAATGTCTTAGAAGAATGACTGTGAAACTTGTAGGTGACAGACTGGTAGATGGTAGTTCTTTAGTGCAAGGGATGGGTAGGATGGAAGTCCTCCTGGCCTAGCACTGTCCAGTTGCCATCACTAGCATGCTTTATGCAAATGCTAAATGTGTTGTTTTATGCATATCACAACTTACTTTTGGCTGTTTTCTTGTATGAATTTCAGGTGGAGCCTGCGGTTGGAGCAGCATTGCTAGCTTGGAACGAACTCATGAAAGAATGTCTTCAGGAAGCGTATCGAAGCTGATCGTTCATAAATCATGATTCAGAATTCAATTGTACAGCACAAGGATAAACTAAAAGGGAAATAAGCAGCTTGAAATGAAAACTATAAGGCGGTATAGTATTAGGCATTGTACGAGTCCAGTATCTGTGAGTCTATGTCTTACGGTAGATTTCGTTGTCGATTTCAGAATTCTGATAGCTCCGTGTAACAGCTGTTGCATGTCAAGGTGTAAACAATTTAAATAGAAAATTATGGAGCAGTGGCATTCCTGTACTGCAATGGCTATTATACAGCCAATGATTTATCTTCTTAGGTATTTCTTTTAGGGGGTAATGTTTTCAGAGGTGGTCTTTTTATTAGCAAAACAAGAGCAATAACCAAAAATGGAATCTCAATTGGATGCAATGCAACTGCTATATGCCAGTCTCATATCTAACCTCATTTAAAATATGTGATTGCAGCTGCTAAATACTCTCAGTACCTGAATGAGCTGCAGCAGGAACAGATTAATCATGCATTTCCCTCAGCAAGGATATCAATGTGCCTTGACCCCTGCTGTCTCGGACTGTCCTACTATGTTCTGGTTTTCATTAACTGCTTTGCTGTGTACTACAATCCTCATTGAGTTTCTATACTAGCCCACCATCACTTCACTTCTGAAGCTGCTAGGTTAACTTAGATATCCTACTGTTTCTTAGTTAATGCATGTTCCTTTTGATAGCATCTAACTCTATGTTGTTTAACCACCGGCAGTTGAACCGGTACAGGGACAGTATTGGTCTTTTGGGATTTAATTGGTTGATCCAACCAGTTCAATGTTACTGTAAAAAACGGTTCGACACTTCCTTTTGCCCCCCTGTTTGACCTTGCCTTTCAGGACACCCGGTTCAGTACATATTTTGAATCTGACTGGTGAAATGACCGGTTCACAGACACAGTCAAACCAATCGGTTTAGTCGGATTGCGAAGTATTAATCAAAGCTAGCGTGGATGCATCATGCATGACTTTTGAACGAAAGGACCATGGACCATGCCATTTGGTCCGAAAAAGTGTGGACAGTTACAAATGCATAATAGGTAATTTTGATCAACCTCAAGGGCTAAAACTTTGTTGTGCCTATTGGAACACCATGTGGCCTCCGTCTCATCTGACCATTTTAGCGTTTCCAATTCCATCGAAGATAAAGTAGGAACGAAAGGGACAAGCCAATGGGTAGCAATGCTGCCTAAAGAAAAAGAAAATTAAAAAAAAAGGGGAAAAACATATAAAATCCCCTAAGATTAAATTAAAAAGTATACTCTTCCCGTTGCATTTCAACTCTTTTTATTAGGTTATATTTAATTAAATATTTATAATTTCAATTATGTAAATTTTTGTAATTAATTGTCATTATTTATATTTTTTAAAATGTAATTTTGTATTGAATAAGCCAGGAATTGGAAGTTCCCTACACTGCTATATAAAACAAGGACCCAGCTTTTGGGGTGCTAGGACAAGAGCCAACCATCATAATATACCAAAAACAGAACCACCTCTACAAACATAAAAAGCAAAGGTTAAATATTAAATCTTAAAATAAATTATTATTTATTATTTTATATTACATTGTGACCATATGACATATTGATGTGTTATAATAGATAATGACATAACATGTTTTAGATGATGTGATAATACGATCATGTGAAATTTTTATTTTTTATATTAAAATTACATTAATATTATGTGAATATATTTAAATTGAATTTAAGATAAATTTGATTAAAAATGTAATAAAAAAATAAATATTATAATTAAAAATAAAAATAATAAATTTGTCTCTTCAACTACTAAATCTCGTACGAACATCTGATTGTGATTACAAAACACGATGGAATGTAATTTAGAATTTGCCCTAATTAAATTGAGTTAGAAGTGAAAAGTAAAAGACGAGAGTAGTGTAAAGCGGTTGGGTCGGGTCGGGCCCGTGTTTTGTTTTTCGGTCAGAAGAGAAGGGGCCCCATTTAGCGTTGGGCTGGTGTCCCAATCGGGTGGCCAACAACCAGAGAGACTGCTTGAGGATACGAAAATGGAGATTTTTTTTTTTCTTTTTCATTTTTTGTTTTGGGGGGAGGGTGCAAGGGGATGCAGGGCCCACGTTGATTGATGAGGTCAAGATAAACATCCAAGGGCCAAGGGTAATAGTAAGGTGAGAGTTTAAAAACGTCAAAGTCCTTCCTCCGCATCTCCTAATTTCTCTTTGATTTTTTTTTGTTAATTCTTACTGTAGCAACAATAATAATAATAATAATGAGTAAGAAAAAGACTGACTTTCACCCAGGATAACAAAAAAAAAAATGACAATTGTATTAATTGAATGCGGATTTCATGTCTCTCTCTCTGTCTCTCTCTTCTTTCCAGCTACTGTCCAGTCCTTGAGCTCTCTCTCTCTCTCTCACACACACACAGTCAAAAAAAAAAAAAAACTCCTAAACCAATAAAAAGTGTCATTTTCTAGCTTTCAACTCAACTGAGCAGCTCCAGTAATCAGACGAAAGGGACACTTGCGGGGGTGAGTTAGAGTTGGGGAAAGCTTTGAATTGGAGATCTGGTGAAGAGAAAGCTAGGGTTTAGCTTGGGAGAGTTTGGATTTTTTGAATGTGAACAGAACCTAGGAGCAAGAAGCATGATCTGAGCTTCATGATGCCCTGCTGAGTAAAGGTAGTTAGCTTTTTTGGATGTTGATTTTAACTTAAGTTGAGAAGCTTCTGGTGGAGAAAGGGGGGGTGGGGGGTGGGTTTTTCTCTTCTTTTTCTTTTAGCTATGGCTTTTGTAGGAAACCTGAATGTGCTTCTTATAAGAGGGGTACTTGTAATTGCTATTTCAACCAACTACTTTTTTTTTTTGGTTTTCTATTGAGAAAAAAATACCTCTTTTTTTTTTTTTGAGATTTGAAGAATGAGACTCTCTTCATCAGGGTTTAATCAGCAAACTCAGGAAGGTAAGTACTTTTGGCTTTCTTTTTATTTTTTTAAAGTATTTCCTTTTAAGTATACAATTGCATAATCTTGTAAATTTGTGAAATTATGAAGTTGTGAAAGATTTTTGTACAGGGGAGAAGAAATGTTTGAATTCTGAACTTTGGCATGCATGTGCGGGTCCTCTGGTGTCCCTGCCGCCTGTTGGAAGCCGGGTTGTTTACTTTCCCCAAGGTCACAGTGAACAAGTAAGTATGCCTGCATCGTTTCTCATGCTTTCTTTCGAATTTGATTCTATTTTTTCATATGTGCTTACGAAAATAGTTCACAAGTAGCAGTTTCAAGGATGATATATAATTTTGAGATGCTGTGTAAGGATGTACATTAGTTGTTCATTTATATGTAAGAATGGAACCTAAACCAGCCGTTTCGGTATTGCTGAATTTCATTCCTCTAGTCTAGTTGTTAACGCATGATTTGCTGTTTGCTCATCTGAACTAACAAACAAAAGTACTTGCTGTTTGCTCATCTGAACTAACAAACAAAAGCACGCTATAAGGGACTGTGTATTTTGTTTCTAATGTTTCAGCATGCTATCGGTGGTTTATGATTCAATTTGCAGGTTGCTGCTTCGACCAACAAGGAAGTAGATGCTCACATACCAAACTATCCGAGCTTACCCCCACAGCTTATCTGTCAGCTTCACAATGTTACTATGCATGTAAGTTGAATGCTGCATATGTTACTTTCTGCTTATGGAACTTTAGTTGGTTGCTTATCAAGGTGTTTGTTCTTTCAAGTACAGGCAGATGTAGAAACAGATGAAGTGTATGCTCAAATGACCTTGCAGCCACTGAGTCCGGTATGGGAACTTGACCTTGTACGAAGATTAGTGCTTGCTATACTTGTCATTATTACTTCTTGACTTGCAAGCATTCTTGTAGCAAGAGCAAAAGGACGTATATCTACTGCCTGCAGAACTGGGTAATCCCAGCAAACAGCCAACCAACTATTTTTGTAAAACACTGACAGCAAGTGACACAAGCACTCATGGAGGATTTTCTGTTCCTCGCCGCGCCGCTGAAAAAGTCTTTCCTCCTCTTGTATGTTTTAGTCGGTTACAAGCAATTCAATTTACTAGCTTCTGGTTTTAATTGAATTAGTCTCACTCATTCTCTCTTTTATTAATTCTTTTAAGATTTTTATTGTATCTTCAGGATTACTCCCAGCAGCCTCCAGCGCAAGAGTTGATTGCCAGGGATCTTCATGATAATGAGTGGAAATTTAGACATATCTTTCGAGGTGAGTGATTAAAATAACTTTGTCCAAAATTGTTTTCCAGCTTAATCTTTTAAAGAATTTTTAAATTATCATGATTTCATTGTTTTATTTGTCATCACTCCTTATTTATTTTTGTTCTCAGTTTATATCCAGTTTATTAACTTTTTGAAGAAATTGTTGGTTTAGTTTTGAAGGTGCTGTAACGTTTCTTAAACCCTTGGGTGTTTCGTATGGTTATATCTAAAAGTTTGTAAATCCAATTTACAAAGAATAATTGAGATGATGACCTAGGAAATATCTTTGTTATATTGTTTTTCTGCATCAGTTATTGCTCTAGTTAAATTGTGGCTAAGGATCTCTGGGACTGAGATTTAAATTCTTTCTTTTAGAGTGATTAATATGCAAATCTTTCAAAGTGAAGTTAGTTATTTGTGATAATTAGAAAAAAGTACTGGAACAGGAAATGTTTAATAAGGTATTAAGATTAATGTGTTCTTGCACTCTGTGTTGGATGTATGCTATTTTTTGAATTTTGCCCCAACAGCATATCCATTTGTTTAGTAAGTGTTTGTTGTTTCTCACCTTGGAATGTTCAGAGTTTCTAGGTTATCTCATCCAGTACTGAACTTTGGTTGATGTTGGTGTTAACGCATTGTGAAATGTGATGACCTTTTCAAGAGCTTTTCTCATTTCGTGAAATATATGCTTCAGATTGTAGACGTGTTATGTCTGATAAACTTGAAAATAACAAATGTTTCTGGCAATTTACGAAAGTTGATTTGGCTTTAAGCCCTTCATGTTGTGGCTTTTGAGTGCTTAAGTCCTTTTCCTTTCACAAGAAATGTAAGGGCATTGTGAAGATTAATCAGCTGTCTATGATTGCTGAAAACAGCTAATGAAATGGGTAAGTCTTGGCTAATGATGGTCATCTGGTAGTAATTCTGTAAGATTAAAGTTTGAAGACTTCCTGGGGATATTTTCGGTATGCATTATTTATTTGAGGGGATCAAATGTTGTATGGAACAAGAATGATGCATTAATGGAGTAATTTGTCCTCTCCACCCCTTAATTTTTGGACAAATCATTGTCAGATGGATATTACTCTCATTCTGCTATTTCTTTAGGCCATTTGGGTGTTGGATTCAACTGAAGCTTTACCTCATTTTCGATCATGCATTGCCAGTTAAAGAATCAGCACATTTTTTAGTAGTTCCTGTAGGAATATGTTCAGATTTACTCTTGTGCTTGAAGGGTAGCATTCACTGTGGGACATTGGGAGCTGTTTTTGGTGAATCAATTTGTATTTTGAGAAGATATATGCTTTTTTATTCGATGAAAAGGCTTTGAATTGCAATGGGTGAAATTCCAACTTCTAATCAATTTGTCTCTGTTCTCATATGCAGGCCAGCCAAAGAGGCATCTTCTGACAACTGGGTGGAGTGTTTTTGTTAGTGCAAAGAGACTTGTTGCTGGTGATTCAGTCCTTTTTATTTGGTAAGTAACTTTTCCTGTTATCCAAATATAGAATTTATAAATATTTCATTTTACAAGTACTTTTGCTGAGTGATTGGCAGGAGTAGTAATAGCTGACGTCCCCCTGACAGGACTTGAAACAATCTAGTGCAATAATTTTGCTTAGATAGTTTGGCTGAAAAAAATTTTCTGAATGCATCTTCTATAATAAAGTATTCTTTTCTATTTCTCGTTTCTAAAGTGACATGCCTAGTGATATGTATCCTCTTTTGTGCCCCATTTACATGGGGCACGGTATTAGTGCAGCTTTACTGCTTTTTCTCTCCATGCTACTAATCAATAAGCTTGCTTTCAGTTATAATCTTTCTGGGGTTTTTTTTTTTAATGTTAATTTTTATTTTATTATCTGATATCTTCTACCAGGAATGAAAAGAATCAATTGTTGTTGGGTATCCGGAGAGCAAGTCGCCCTCAGACTGTTATGCCGTCTTCTGTTTTATCAAGTGATAGCATGCACATTGGTCTTCTTGCTGCAGCAGCTCATGCGGCTGCAACGAATAGCCGTTTTACTATATTTTACAACCCAAGGTTAATTACCTAATCTAATAATGGAAAAGACTGATGCTGTTACAACATAAGATCTTGTTCATTTAAAGTAGCTTGATTGCAGGGCTAGTCCTTCAGAGTTTGTCATTCCTCTTGCCAAATATGTTAAAGCTGTCTACCACACTCGGGTTTCTGTTGGCATGCGGTTTCGAATGCTGTTTGAGACAGAAGAGTCAAGTGTCCGCCGGTAGGTCTTAATACTCTTAAATATTTCACAATTCTGTGGTGTTTTCTTCCACAACAATTATTTGTTATTTTCCTCTAAGTTAATTCTTCTATCTTTATAAGTCAATGTGACTGCAGTATCATTGGCAAATGTAAGTGGCTGATTAGTAACTTGAGTGTCTTTGTATCAGATATATGGGTACAATAACTGGTATTAGTGACTTAGATCCTGTTCGCTGGCCAAATTCACATTGGCGCTCTGTTAAGGTTTGTTTGAAGTTTCCATCTATGAGTGTGAATTGAGTTGCCAATGCTATATTCATTTTTATTTGTGTTTTTGGCTTAAAAATACGATGTGTTCGTTATTATCTGACATAAATCTTACCTTATTAATCCCAGGTTGGCTGGGATGAGTCCACTGCAGGGGAGAGGCAGCCAAGGGTGTCCTTGTGGGAGATTGAACCATTAACAACCTTCCCTATGTATCCATCACCCTTCCCCCTGCGACTGAAGCGACCATGGCCATCTGCACTACCCTCCTTCCATGGTATGCTAGAATCTTTGCTAAGAATGGTTGAAATTACACATATAGCTTCTCGACTACACCTAAAGTTAGGGGTTTTCCTTATCTATACTGAATCAATTTATTTTGTATTACCAGCTTTCAAAGATGGTGATATGAGCATCAATTCCCAATTGATGTGGCTTCAAGGTGGGGTTGGAGATCAAGGAATTCAGTCTTTAAACTTCCAAGGATTTGGAGTTGCACCCTGGATACAGCCAAGGCTTGATACTTCTTCACTACCGGGAGTACAACCTTATCTTTACCAAGCAATGGGAGGTGCAGCATTTCAGGACATGAGGACAGTTGATTCATCCAAAATAGGCTCTCAGTCTCTCTTGCAATTCCAGCAACCCCAGAACACATCCAATGGGACTCCTGCTCTGATTCAGAGGCAGATGTTACAGCAGTCACAAACACAAAATGCCTTCCTTCACAGTTTCCAGGAGAATCAGACCACTGCACAAGTTCAGCTTCTGCAGCAGCTGCAGCGCCCCCATTTGTACAATGATCAGCGACAACAGCATCAGCATCAGCATCAGCATCAGCATCAGCCACAACATCACCAACAGCAACAGTCTCAACAAACGCAGCAACTGCCGCAGTTGTCTGTTCCACAGCAGATTTCCAATGTGATATCTGCATTTCCTTCTACATCAGCCAGCCAGGCCCAGTCCTCATCTTTGCCAGTTGTTGCTTCACAATGCCAGCAGCAGACGTTTCCGGACTCCATTGGCAATTCTATAGCCACATCTGATGTTTCTTCTATGCATAGCATCTTAGGTTCATTATCCCAGAATGGAGCTTCCCATTTACTCAACTTGAATGGATCAAACCCTATTATCTCTTCTTCTTCTTTGTTGTCCAAGCCAGTAGCTGTTCAACCGCAGGTTTCATCTGGAGCAACTAACTGTGTACTGCCCCAGGTTGAACAGTTGGGAACGGCACAGTCAAATGTATCTGAACTTTCTAACTTATTACCACCGTTTCCTGGAAGGGAGTATTCTGCTTACCATGGTTCAACTGATCCACAAAACAATCTTCTGTTTGGGGTTAGCATTGATTCCTCATCTCTTATGCTGCAGCACGGGATGACAAACATGAAAAATTTCGGGAATGAAAATGATTCATTGTCTCTGCCATATGCTGCTTCAAATTTCACCAGTGCTTCAGGCACAGATTTTCCACTTAATTCAGACATGACTACCTCAAGTTGTGTGGATGAATCAGGTTACTTGCAGTCTTCTGAAAATGTGGACCAAGTAAACCCTACAACCGGAACCTTTGTGAAGGTAATCTTTGCAAATGTATCTTTGCTTGTCTTTAAATGGGTGAATATATGGGATTTGTCTTGTTGTGAGCAAAGCTTGATCATGTGGATCACTGCTAATGGATCTCTGATATAATGCCCAACAGACAACAGTGGGTATGAGTTTTTCAATTGTAGCTCTTTCTTCAGTGATACAAGCTTATCGGAGGATACCATTGCTAATCAAGAAACAACCATTCCTTTTTTGTATTTTGGCTGACAAAGTCAATTGGTTAATTTTTAGTCTCTTAAACTCTCATACTGTTGTGTTTAGATGTGGTACCTTTGTATTTATTTCAAAAACTAATTACAGTATTATGCCGAGTTTCTTATGTGGCTTGCAATTGACATGGTTTTTGACCTTCTGCTTGTTGACAGGTTCACAAGTCGGGGTCTTTTGGGCGCTCATTGGATATTTCCAAGTTCAGCAGCTATGATGAGCTGCGCTGTGAGCTCGCTCGAATGTTTGGCCTTGAAGGCCAATTAGAGGACCCTCAGAGATCAGGCTGGCAGCTTGTATTTGTTGACAGGGAGAATGATATTCTTCTCCTTGGTGATGACCCTTGGCAGTAAGTTCCAAACTGTGCTTTATTTATTTTATAAATTATCTATGACTGTCTAAATGATATTTACTTTCAAATCTTTCAGTTGTTACACAATTTTATAAGTTTTGCACCAAATTTACTTATCCATCCACTGATTCATAAATTTTGTTATTAGTCATCCTGCAATCTTTTGGATCTATCCCTCAAGATGGGATTCCAAGCTTTAGAACCTTTCATGCATTTAAATTTTAAAGTATGTTTCCTCAAACATTCTCTTCCTTGATGTTAGCTCTCATTTATTTGCTTATTGTCTTTTAATTTCATTTTTTTCAGTGCTGATTCTTCCTACATACTTGTGTTGAAAATTTGCACATACCAAGCTACTGTAATGCTGATTAGGTTTCCTGCACTGTAGGATCTTTAGAATTATCCAAATCTCAGATAGTTGGAGATTAAGTGTTCTGAGATTGAACTAAGGAATAGGATTCTAGCAAATGATTGAATTTTGGGGCTTTGAAGTTTCTGTAACTAAAGGTGCAGTCATAAGTGTCAGAATTGATACATACCAAAAATAATGAGAAAAAAATCATTAAAGAAATAAAATGAAAAAGAAAAAACTAAGCAGTCAGGAAGTAAGCAACCAGTTGTGCAAGCTCAAAGCTGCTGTGAAAGGCTGCAACAGTATTTATTTTATTGACAGAGATGACGAGGATGTATAGATTTTCATTATTATCAGCTGCTTAAGTTGGGTTTTTGATACCAAGCCAAACTATTTAACTTGGGCTGTTGAAACCAATATTTAAGCCCTTGTAAATCACATCCTACTGAAATAAAATTTGCTATTTCCTTAAATATACAGAAAATCAAAACTTGATTCTACCCCCTTTATAAGCTCCAATCAGTGAATTTAATGGAGATCATAATATTCACATATTTTGGTATTTAATCTTCTCTTGACATATGCTTGCTGTCTGCATCATGAGACTATGCTGAGAATTAAGGAGTTAGCTGGTTTGGATCGAATTCTTGTTGTGGTTTGGGAGTATCTAGGTGATGTAGCAATGCTTGCTAGACTTATTTGTCTCAAAAGATTTAAAGATCCAAAACTTGGTGAAAGTCTTCTAGATTTGATTTCTAAGAATGGAAAACATTTAAATTGGATTTTTACCATGGTATTAATCTACAATTGACTGACATTTTAGAAGAGAGGGACTCAGCTTACCATGAGAAGGGTTGGGACCATAATTCTAAAACAATGCAGTTTTATGTCCAGAAAGTTGAGTATTTTCAAGAAGAGTAGAAGTATTGGAAATGATACTGGAATGTGGTTTTTACTATGGTTTAGAAGTAATTGTGTGGAGGCATCAATCAAAGGTAAATTAAAAATGGATTTTGATTCTTTGGTTGTGTGATTCAGGGTTAAGGATGCTCCAATGCAAAAAAGTGATATAAATTGGGGATCAGGCAGTCCGTCAGGGAAAAAAAAGATCAAAAAGGGTAGAGGACCATAGAGTGCTGTAGGAATATTACATATCATATTGGCTTTGGTGGAACTGAAAAGAAAGAGATTGTTGGTAATGTGCGGTTTAGAATTGAAGTATTTGTTGATGCAAAACAGTATCAAACATTTGCAAGGATTAAAGAGGGGTAAAGGTTGATTTAACGGCATGTATGGTTTGCGAAATGGAATAGAGGGAGAATGGAGAACCATTTTGTGGGAATAGAATAAGGTAAGAAAAGATTAGAATGGTTATTATGTAGTTTGGTTTATGGAATGGAATTGTCATTCTGATATTGTCCCAATATCTGGTTGGCAAGAATGGCTTTGAAATAGCATAGGAATAAGTGATAAGAGGACAAAAATGCCTTGGATTATAATTTAATAGTATTTTGCCAAAATACCAAAAAAGGAGTGGAAAAGAAAAGGTTTTAGAAAAAATAAATTGATCAAGTGAAAAGGGGTGAAAGGAAGAGAGAAAGGGGGTTTTGATGGTGCCAGTCGGTGTAGACCAATGGTAGTTGGTCTCTAGGGTTTGCTTAGAGAGAGGAGTGAGGCTGGTGAGAGAGAGAGAGGAGGAGGAGGAAAAATAAGGGGTTTTAAGGTTAGGATTAGAGTTTAGTATTGATATGCTAGAAATTTTACAAATTGGCCAAGGTTATTTTTGTCCAAAAAGATTTATTGAGCTATTCATTAATGCATTAAATATCCTATACCAAGGCGGTCGGGAATGATGATTCATGGACTTTAACAGATAGTGGATCTCATGGAATAGTCATTCTTTAGGGCAAAAATGAACCAACCATTGGAATGATCATCTCATCAAAAATAGCACCGGAATGGAATTGGCCATTCCAGTGAACTAAACATGACTTAAGAGGTTAAAGTTATGATTGCATTTGTACAAGTTTATAGTCTTGATTGAAATAGAGAAATGAGGTATATAACCAAGCTTAAATGCTTTGGATTTATGATTTAGTTGATTGTGGGTTCCATCACTAGAATAGTGTGACATTATAGTTTAATTTATGTTTCATGTATTATTTTTTCAGTTTCTTTATGATGCTGACCACATCTATAGATCTTCTAAATTTTTTCTTTTCTCATTAATTATTTCCCTGGTAGCACATGGTATGTTAATCTGTCCAACTTCACATAGCTTAGCTCTTGAGTTAAAGTAGAAAGACAAGTTCAATGATGATTGTAATAGATGTCTCTTTATGCAAATTTATGTTTATGTAGTTTACTCCTGGCGTGATGTTTGCCAAAGCATCAGAAGAAAAATTAAAATCTTCTACACTCTTTCATCAGAGTTGTGCAATGTTAGTGAGCTGATGGACTGCTCAAGAGTTGGTTTTAGTGGATTAATTTTTTTTTCATTTTTGTTGTATGTTTTGTGCTTATCAGGGAATTTGTGAACAATGTATGGTATATCAAGATACTATCTCCACTTGAAGTGCAACAAATGGGGAAAGAAGTCCTGAATCCTGCCGCTTCTGTCCCAAGCCAAAGGCTTACCCATAGCAGCAACAACTGTGATGACTACATGAGCAGACAGGACTTGAGGGGTTCTGGTAATGGACTTGCCTCTATGGGTTCTCTTGAATACTAAAGGAGAATGCTCCTGAAGTTGGGGATTTGAAATGGAAGTTGCACTGATGAATGTTGTAGCTGTCTTATGGCACTGTTTATGTACGCATGGATTGTTAGAATTCTTTGGAACTTTTACCTTTTTTTCTTTTGTGGTAATTGAAATGTATCGCCTGTTTAAGTTGATATTAAAGCTTGTGTGTCGGAATACTGCTGTAAATTATAATAGGAAATATTTCTAACACTTACGTTATAGTCCTTTAGAGCACAAGGATCTATTAGGATAATCCCATTATGTTATCAGCAATTTGTTGGCTGCCCTGTAATTTATATCATCTACTGTTTCTAAAACGGCAGTTCATAAATGAACAACTTATTTGAACGTAGACTTATCTATGTTTTACACATCTTAACTATATTTTTGGATAGATAATAATCTGACTCTCCAATTATTCATAAGAAGTAAAGCTCGGTGAATTCGTTTTGTACTATTTTCTTATCATTTGTGCGCGGTCATTCTGTCCTAATGCTTTGAACAAAATAGCATGTTACCATTTTGGGTATTTTGAGCATTAACTCTTTCTAGACCACATAATCCTCCATTTTTATGGACTCAGGCCATGACGTATTCACATTTTTATGAACAATGAAATGATCTGAAATATGAATTTTGATCAACATAAGAAGGAAGTGCCTTCGCTCACACCAAATGGATCCCTAAATTCAAGTGAAGCTTGGAGTAGAGAGATGAAATTACAGGGACCAAAAATGGACACCAATAGAAGTAATGGCAGGCTCAAAATGAACTCCACTTTTGAGTTCTGACAGCCTTTTCTCCAATTAAAGAGAGGAAGCTAATTTAGTTCACTTTACAATATTACTTGACGATATATTATTCGGCTTTTTCTTGGAGAAATGATTTGATTGTAGGCTATTGGTTCAACCATCACAGGCTTTTCTTGCTGAGAAAAACATGACATAAGGCTCATTAGCAATATTTCCCGAAAATGGAAGCAAAGGCTCAGACTAGGGTTGTCAAATGTACAGAACGATCCCAATGTTAGGCAAATGCATTCATCCCATAAATATAGTTATATACCAAAAACGGCTTAACCCCTTTCCTTTTTGTCTTTTTCTCTGCTGCCCATTCAACGGTATTGAAATTAGGTGGGCATACAGCACCTAACCAGGCAGTTAATGTGGCAACAGCCGGATAATCTCCAAAACCCACAACAAAGAATTGAAAACTGTATTGAGAGTTATATACTTTAAATGTTTAATCCACTAGTTCATACCTGACAGTTTTAGTTTGTAACTTTTAAGAGTCTTTGACCATACCTTCCATTCCACCGTAACTAAATCAGGTGACACTTTTGTTAGCTTCATCTGCTATTCTCTTCCAAACGACCCAAAAGAAAAGTAGTTAACTACTTCAATTTCAATGCCATGATTCTTATCTTCTTCTCCCACACCATACAACTAGTTAAATATGTTGGCTTTTACTGGCATGATTTCATAGCGTCGAACCTAAAATATCATCTTTTACTAGATTCTTCACTTAATTGCTGTGGCCTGACAATGGGTTCCGCTGCTCCTGAGTATCAGCCATTGCTACTGGGTCTCGACTCCCATGCTCGGATACCCGATTTGTCATCCGTTGCAATCGAAGAGTTTTTGCAACACAGGCCGGTAGCTCTGCGATGGTGGCCAAGGCTTGTGGCATGGGAGTCCAGGCTTCTTTGGCTTCTATCTGGGGCTTCTATAGTAGTATCCATATTCAATTACATGCTCAGCTTTGTTACCTTGATGTTCACTGGACATCTGGGTGCTTTAGAGCTTGCTGGTGCCTCTATTGCTAGTGTTGGTATTCAAGGTCTTGCCTATGGGATTATGGTATTGTCTTCTTAACTCTGTTTTTTCCTTTGTTCTGTTTGGTTAGTTGCATGAGCACTTTGTTAATGTTTTTTGCCTTTTCCTTTTTGGGCTCCCCAAAATACAGTTGGGTATGGCCAGTGCAGTGCAAACTGTATGTGGACAGGCCTATGGGGCTAAGCAATACTCAGCAATGGGAATCATTTGCCAAAGGGCCATAGTCTTGCACTTGGGAGCGGCGGTCCTCCTAACATTTCTGTATTGGTTCTCTGGTGATGTACTCCAAGCAATAGGCCAAAGTGAAAGCATTGCTCAGAAAGGCCAAGTGTTTGCTCGAGGTTTGATCCCTCAAATTTATGCATTTGCCATAAGTTGCCCGATGCAGAGGTACTTGCAAGCACAGAATATTGTGAATCCTTTGGCATTTATGTCTGTTGGAGTATTCCTGGTCCACATTCTTCTGACGTGGGTTGTCGTCTATGTCTTGGGGTATGGCCTACTGGGAGCCGCTCTGACTCTCAGCCTCTCTTGGTGGTTTCTTGTTATTGTAAATGGTCTTTACATTCTTCTGAGCCCGTCTTGCAAGGAAACTTGGACTGGCTTATCCTTAAGAGCCTTCACAGGAATTTGGCCTTATTTCAAGCTCACTGTTGCTTCTGCTGTTATGCTTTGGTATGTGTCTGATGATTGTAGCTTACAACTACAATACACATTGTACTTTTCCTTTTGTCACTGCTCACTAGTTTGGGAATATGCTACATTTTTCTTTGTCTGATGTTAGCTTATAATAATGTAGTTTGGAGATATGGTACAACCAAGGGTTGGTGCTTATATCAGGGCTCCTTACTAATCCAACAATCTCACTTGACTCCATTTCAATTTGGTAAGTGAATGCCCCACTTCTCTCACTTGCAATTTTGCTTCCTTTATGTGAGCAAATCCTAATTTGGTTCAATCTTCAGCATGAATTATTTGAACTGGGACATGCAATTTATGCTCGGCCTCAGTGCAGCTGCCAGGTTAGCAAACCAATCAAAGCTCTAAATTGGATAATTCAATCCTTTGTTTTTTTTTCTGTGTCACTGAATATCGTCGTAAATTGGCCCTTGGCAGTGTTCGAGTCAGTAATGAGCTAGGGGCAGGTCATCCAAGGGTAGCAAAATTTTCAGTTTTTGTGGTGAATGGGACAAGTATCCTTATCAGCATAGTTTTCAGTGCAATTGTTTTGATATTCCGGGTTGGATTGAGCAAAGCATTTACAAGTGACTCTGAGGTTATAGAGGCAGTTTCAGACTTGACTCCACTGCTTGCCATCTCTGTTTTCCTAAATGGCATTCAGCCAATCCTCTCAGGTAATCATTCCTGAAAGAAACCAACAAATTATGTATGACCCAAAGTTTTGGTCTATCTTCTTGTTTATAATATTCTACTCTGTTTTGGAATTTCAGGGGTGGCAATAGGGAGTGGATGGCAAGCAGTTGTGGCTTATGTAAACCTGGCCACTTACTACATAATCGGTCTCCCCATTGGATGTGTCCTCGGCTTCAAAACAAGTTTAGGAGTAGCTGTAAGTTTATTCACTGCCCATTTCTCCCCAAGTCCCTTATCAATTTTCCCTACCAATGGTATATTGAATGTGCACTATGACACTATTCAGGGAATCTGGTGGGGGATGATTATTGGAGTTCTTTTACAAACAGGAACTCTCATTATTCTCACTGCCAGAACCAACTGGAGCCAGGAGGTAATAACCTAATCTAATCAATAATGTATTTCATTTTTAACTGCCCAAATAATAACTTCAATGGTTTTGTAGGTTGAAAAGGCTGCTGACCGCTTGAAGACTTCTGCTAATGAGGAGAGAGAAGACTTGGTAACAGGGGTATCAGGAGCATGAGCCCACGTTAATATATTTCTCTGTTTTCCAAACACCCTCTTCTTTCAATTTTGAATATGTATTCTTGTAATTTTGGGTTAAGTCAATTCCTTGAGCAGGTTCGCTTTCTCTTTCTATTTTCCCCTTTGATTTACCTAAGATCACCTTATCTGAATCAAAATGTTATATCAATCGTAATATCCCAATAAATTGAAAAACCAAGGCCGGGCTTTCTTAGTTTGTCGCCAATTTGATGGTAATCCTCATCGTTGGATGATTCATTAAAAGTGCAAAATGAGCAACAATTTGCCCTCTCCAACATTGGCTTTTGCTTAAAGCTTAAGTCGACGATATACCAACTAAATTTGTTTCTGCCCCAATATGATAAATACGACAGTAGGATATTTGTCAAACTAAAATATTCTTCAGGGGCTCGGAAAGTCAGATGCTTGCTGTCGATGGATGAAACATGTCATTGGGCCTGATTCATGGATCGGTTATTTTTTATTAAAAGTGAGATGTATTACATTTGAAAATTCAAGTTTATATTAAAACTGAACTTAAATGGATCAGCCCATTTAATTAGTGGGCTGTTTCAAGTTAAGACAGCCCAATCTTGTCGATTTGAAAAAAAAAATTAATAATTTTATATATTTAGTTATATAAAATTAATAATTTAATTACTGATAGTATTACATATTTTATATATTTCAATATTATTAAATTTTTACTTGTTAAATTAATAATTTTAGTTAAAATTAAAATTTATTATTTTTTTATGACAATGAATATTAAATAATAAATTGATAATGAATCAAACCTTGAAATATTATTGCTATCGAAACAAGATTCAAATGGTTTGCTTGAAGATGAGGATTGAGGAGGATATAAATGAGTCTTGAAGTTTCCATTTATTTGATTATACACTTATGCTTATGGGATAGTAATTTATGTTAAAAATTAAAACTTTATTTATATTTGACGTAATTTATTTACTTATTTATATTTAGTATACTTTATTTATTTGTAATATGTTTTTGTTATTCAATCTATGGATTAAATTATAGAACAATTTTATTGATAGGTAGGTAGAATTGTAAAAATGAATTTGTTTTTTGAAAGAAAAAAAGAAGTGGGTTGGCTCAACCTGATCCATGGGCTGGTTAAAGTTTTGATGGCCTATGTAAAAAAAAGCTAGCTCGACCCAATCCATATTTTTTCAACCTAAGAGGATTTGGGTCACGTTGGATTGAATCAGTTCATATTAACACCTTTATCAATGGGTAAAGAGTTTATTGGGTTTTAAAGTTTTGTTTCAAAAAAATATACAAACTTAAATGAAATCTAGATATTCTTCCTGCAATGAAGATGTTCGGAATTGAAATGATCAAAATATCCGATAAGTTTTTGTATTCATGCATTTTTTTCAATTTAGTTCTTGTACTCAAAATTAAAATAATTTAGTTTCTTAATTTTGAAAATTATTTTAATTTAGTCCTTAATGACATCCTATTTTGTCATTAAAAGAAATGACATCAATATTGACATGACACTAACATGATGACGCGTTAATGTTATATGACATCGACGTGATAACGTGATGATATGATAATACTACGTAGTATTAATATGATTACATGACAATGTTGACACGGCATTGACCTGTCAATATGTTAGTGCCACGTGACAATGCTAACGAGACCAATCAAGAAAAAAAAATTATATTCATGCATTTTGTTCAATTTAGTTTTTATACTTAAAATTGAAGTAATTTAGTCCCTTAATTTTGAAAATTATTTCAATTTAATCTTTCTTTCTAATGACATCCTATTTTGCTATTAAAGGAGATGACATTAACATTGACATGACACAACATGATGGTGTGTCAGTGTCATTTGATATCGACATGATGACGTGATGATATGATAGTGCTACGTAGTATTAATATGATTTCATGACAATGTTGACGTGGCACTGACATGTGAACAATGTTGACGTGGCACTGACATGTGAACAATGTTGACATGTCAATGCCACATGACAATGCTAACGAGACAGATCAAGAAAAATTTTTTTTTTGAAAAAAGATCTGCGTCATATCATAAAGACTAAATTAAATAGAATTAAGTTGCTAAGAGATTAAATTGAAAAAAAATAAAAAAAATAAATATTTAAGTACATAATATATAAACTTATTAATAAATCAAATATTCAAGTGTAAAAAATTTATGGTATTAAAATATATATATTTTTTAGAATATGTACATTAATTTATCTTTTTTGTAAAAATTAAGATTGAATTCCTCTTCTATAAAAAAATTTTGAAAAAAATTTCATACCTAAAGCTAGAGTTAGATGAATAACTTATATTCTATTAGAATAAAATAATCTAAAAAGCTAAATAAATTTTTTTTTCTTCTGTTTATAATAGTTTAAAAATGTGAAATTTATATTCTAAATTTGACTTCGTTTTTAATTTGAGTTGAGCATAAATTAACAAAATATGTTGATTTAGTTACAGTTTTCACAATTTATAAATGCCCATTCTTTTGGAATTATTCAACCTTATCCAATTTACCTTTTATTTAAATTTATTCAAAGTGTCTTTATAAAATAATTTTATTTTAATTCAAAAATCAAATTTAAATTATGCTAAATTTAAATTTAAATTATTAATTTCAATCTACAAATAAATTGTAAATACAAAATAAAATTGTACAAATATTTATTATTATATTTAACTTGATCAGCCATCTTTAACCCAGGACATTCCAGCTTAAAAAAATTAAAATATTAAACAAAATAAAAACGTAAAAAATAAACAAAAATTGAAAGGGTAGAACAGTTCAGATTTGATGAGTGTAATAAGAGATTTGTCATGCCCAAATTAAAAAAGTCAAAATAAGAAATTATTTTTATAATGATTGTTAACTCCATATCTCTTTTTTTCATGTAAAAAAGTTAATAAGACTCAGACATGCGCAAACTTTGTCATCAAAGAGCTGCTTGGCACTTAAATTAAAGAGTTTAAGAAAAAAAATCCAAATCAGAATCTAGAAACATAAATATGTTGTTATTACCTTAATTTTGTAATAATTAATTGATGAATTAAACTTTTAACGAGAAAAAGAAAAAACGAAGAAGAACACTGAGAAGTGGTCAAGGAGAAGAGTAGCTATTACTTTTTATAATTGTGAAAACAAAACCTTAATTCTAAACATTTTTAGGATTTGTGTAAATTCCAATATTGTTACTCTATACGTATATATCCAACAGGATCAAGATAAAATATTAGGATTTTTTTATAAAAAGAAAATTCAAACTTAATTTTTATAAAATAAATAAATTAATATACTTATTATGAAATAAAATAATCAAGTAAAAAAATATTTATAAATATATATTTCTTAACACTATAAATCTTTTACATCTAAAGATTTAGCTTATTAATAAATATATGTATCATTTACTTAAATATTTATATTTTTTATTTATTCCCTCAATATTTTAATTTTATTCAATTTAATCATTATATTATAATTTTTATTTAATTTGATCTCTATAACGTGATTAAGATTTTTTTTGAATTTTTTTTTTCTTGATCTACCACATCAATATTGTCACGTCATCATATTAATACCACATAACACTAGCACGTCATCATATTAAAGCTCCGCCATCCAAACGAGCTAAGTCTGCACTGATGTTAGTTTCTTAAATAGCAAAATTGAATGCCGTTAGGAAAAATGATAAAATTAAAGTAATATCTAAAATCAAAAAATTAAGTTGTTTTGATTTTAAATATAAAGATTAATTTAAACAAAATACATGAATACATTGACTTTATGAATATTTTGACCGTATTAAAATAAGCCATAGATAATCTATGAGCAACTTGTTCACATTATCTCCTAAAGCATCTTGATCACCCGTAAAGCATCTCCTTCAGTTCGATAAATATTGCAGGAGTAAGATCTATCTTGGTACATACAATTCTAGCTAAGCTGTGAAGGCTTGTTGGCTGCAGCAATTTTTCTCCCAGAACAAATTGTAAAAACCAGAGAAAGAAGGGGTAGGGGAGAGGGACATCTCCCTATTCACTTTTCAGGTAGGCTCAAAAAATTCAATGAAATCCTTCATGCCAACAACGTTAATGGACTATGTGGCAAAAACAATAAAGAACACTCTTGTGAAAAAGAAGTACATATGTTATATATATATATCACAGGTTAGATGACGCTATGCGGCTGTGCCGGTGCATTGTTTAGTGTTAGGGGACAATCTTTCCAAGTTAAGTACTTGTAATATATATATATATATACACTACAAGTTAGATGCCGCTATGCGGCTATGCCGGTGCATTGTTTAGTGTTGGGGACAATCTTTTCAAGTTAAGTACGTATAATAATCGTTTACTGTCCCTCGTTGTTTGCCTCTCCGGTTCTGTTTCATGGCTTCTTTTTTTGTCCTTTTGTTTCTGTTGTTGAGTGTTGCATTGTTTTTGATGGAAACTTCGTCCTTTTTCATCTCAATAGAGCTGCTATTAAAAAAAAATGATTGGGGAACTAAGATTGTAGATTTCTTTTTATTAAATTATGGACCAAAACATAACTTTTTGAACATGGGCGACTAAAAATCAAAATAAAAAAACCTTTTGATGACCAATTTTGGCAATTTACCTATGCATGGGACACACTTCTCCTACACGCTAAAGGAACGTAAGACTGACGGCCATTGGTCGTCTTTAGGCTCTAAACAAGCCATTGATAACTCCAAAGTCTGCAAGTCACTCTCCCTAATTGGCACACTCAAAAACCGAATTAATTGCAGTAGGCTTCTTTTGTTGGCAAAACAAACAATAGAAGGTCAATAAATTTCATCGTTCACCTACCCTTCTTAAAAATTAAGGGGTGGTTGAACACGAGGACCAATCTATACGGCTGCACCCAATTTTTTTTCCTGGATTATTAGCACCTCAAAGGAAACCATAAATGGATACGATGACATTCTAGATATGAGCTTCTACCATCGGAAAAGAAAATTAATCGTACCACACAGACTGTATATATCATAAGCGGAAAACATGGGCAGAGAGGAGCAGCAACCCTTGCTAGTAGGCCGGAATAATATTTATGATTTGCAGTCGGATGCAATCGAAGACGTTTTGGAGAAAAGAGAAGCAGTGGGAGTGGGATGGTGGGCGAGGCTGGTTGCATGGGAGTCAAGGCTTCTTTGGGTGCTGTCTGGCGCATCCATAGTTGTCTCAGTATTCAATTACTTGTTGAGCTTTGTCACCTTGATGTTCACCGGTCATCTTGGGGCATTGGAGCTGGCTGGAGCCTCCATAGCCAGCGTGGGAATTCAGGGTCTTGCTTATGGGATTATGGTATGTGTGTTTTTTTTTTTTTATTCGTTACATCAAGTTTTAACTTTATTTAGGGATAATATAATATTAACTTTCAAGCCCTAGGGATAATATATATAATTTAAGTCAAAGTCTTTTGTCTTACCTGATTTCACATCAATTGGTTTATGTATGGATGAATACTAAATTTTTTCTGTTGTTTTTTTTAATAAATTTATCACTATGATAAAATAAATAATTTATTATAAAATGTCTTGACTTTATTTAAATTTTAATAATAATTTCATACGAATCTATTAACATAAATACATGAGTTTAATGAGTAAACTTGAGATGTTTTAAATGCCTTTCTTCTTTCTCTATTCTTTTTTCTTTTCTTTCAATTTAGTCGACGGGCGTTCCCTTATGTCGACTGGCCCCTCCGCCATCTAGCATTCTTGTGACATCGACGAGAGCCAGATTACGTTAGAAGGGTGTGATTTGGCATTTTCATGACTAGATTTGGTTGGAGAGCACCAGGTAGATCTGACGTTCCTGCGATCGGATTTAGCCAAAGAACATCCGTTCAACACTTGTCATGTCATTCTGTATCGTTGCTACTGGATTTAGTTGGGAAAGTCAAATTCGACGTTCTTGCGAACGAATTTAGCCTGGGAAGATCAACACTTGCCATGTCGTCCTTTGTTGTTGCTATTGTTCACGATGTAGAAAATTTAGTGAGAGAAGAGAGAGAATGCTTGGTTAGAGAGAGAAAAAAATTGTAAAAATAAAAAATTATATTTTATATATTTAAAATAAATTAAAAGTAAAATTATTTTAAAAAATATTATCATATCATTAACGAAAATATTAACAATTAATTAATAATATGATTTATGTGTCTAATAAAAAATATATTTTTTAGATAAATTATCGATAAATGTATTTATGTGAAATTATAATCAAAATTTTAAAAAATAAAAGTATTTTATACAATAATTTAAGATAAAAGTGAAAAGACTTTTTAGAAAGTTTGAAACACTTTTGCTCCTTCCAGTCCTACGCAACTAACCAAACCTCTCAAAGGGGAAAGTGAACATTGCAACCAAAAGCCATCATACTTGAAATGAAGAATTTAGAATCTTCATCTCGTTTCAAATGAAAAGAATTTTATCCTATTAATTTTTAAAGATTTCTTTAAAATAATAAATATTACTTTAATATTACATTTATTGAAATATTAAATTTAGAGATATATATATATATTTATATATCTTATTTTAATTTTTACAACTTTTAGTTTTGAGGATGCAATAATTGCAAAATAAAACAACAAAAGATATGCTTGCGTGCACTATGTTACGAGGTTAATTATCTATCAATTATAAATGTTTTCTTATATTATGAATTATAACGATGAATTAAAGAATTTAGTTAGAGTGGCTAATAATTAAATGGTGTGAACCCAAAATTCTGATTGTTTATGTGAATATAAATACAAAAATATAGTTTATAAAATTATGATTAGTAAATTATTTGGGTGATCGAATTAAATTTATATTTTTTTATTTCATTAATGTAAAATATTGTGTTAAAAAACCGTTTTTTTAGTGACTTAGACAAAAAAGTCAACTAAATTTTCCTTATTTGTATTTAATTTCATTAATGTTTTTAACGTTTTTTTTTAATCTTAAAAACAGTTGGGCATGGCCAGCGCGGTGCAAACTGTGTGCGGCCAAGCTTACGGGGCTAAGAAATACGCAGCCATGGGCATCATTTGCCAAAGAGCAATCGTTTTGCACATAGGAGCCGCAGTCCTCCTCACGTTTCTGTACTGGTATTCAGGTGCAGTCCTTAAAGCAATAGGCCAATCTGAGAGCATAGCCGAGCAGGGCCAAGTCTTCTCTCGTGGTTTGATCCCTCAACTTTACGCATTTGCTTTAAGCTGCCCCATGCAGAGGTTCCTGCAAGCTCAGAACATAGTTAATCCCCTTGCATTTATGTCTGTCGGGGTTTTCCTCTTGCACAGTCTTCTTTCATGGCTTGTGATCAATGTATTGGAGTACGGCCTTATTGCAGCATCTCTGACTCTCAGTCTCTCCTGGTGGTTTCTCGTCGTTGCCACCGGGCTTTACATTGTTCTAAGTCCTTCTTGCAAGGAGACTTGGACCGGTTTATCCATTAAGGCTTTTAAAGGAATTTGGCCTTATTTCAAGCTCACCGCTGCTTCTGCTGTTATGCTTTGGTATGTCTTCAGAACCCGAATGGCCATAAGCTAGCTTCATTTATCAATCATTAGTGTCAACCTTGTAGCCATTGGCAATGCAGGTTGGAGATATGGTACAGCCAAGGACTGGTGCTCATATCTGGTCTTCTCCCTAACCCTACAATCTCACTAGACTCCATTTCCATTTGGTACGTTAACGCCTGCTGCCTCTTCTCATACATGCCTGGTTGTCTTTCATGTACAAGTCTGATAGATAAATCCATGCGTTTTCAGCATGAATTACTGGAACTGCGACATCAACTTCATCTTAGGCCTTAGTGCAGCAGCCAGGTTAGTAAAGCAAGTAGTCTATAAAATGTTCAATTTGGCGTTGCCGATATAGCTGCATATTTGATCTGCCATTTGTGATTAGTTAATGGTTGTTGGGCTATACTGGACTTGACAGCGTTCGCGTGAGCAATGAGCTAGGAGCAGGTCATCCAAGGCTTACCAAATTTTCAGTTATAGTGGTGAATGCAACCAGCATTTCCATCAGTGTGGTTTTCACTGCAATTATTTTGATATTTCGAGTTGCTTTAAGTCGAGCTTTTACAAGCGATGCTGAGGTCATAAAAGCAGTGTCCAATTTGACTCCACTTCTTGCCATCTCCGTTTTCTTGAATGGCGTTCAGCCTATACTCTCAGGTATGTTTCTTCGAGAAAACTGGCCAGAGGCCAACCAGCCACCAGGCTGAACCCCTCCTTTGTCTTGGGAATTTCAGGAGTGGCCATTGGGAGTGGATGGCAACATATTGTGGCTTATGTCAACCTGACCACATACTACGTTATTGGTCTTCCAATTGGATGCATTCTTGGCTTCAAAACTAGTTTAGGAGTGGCAGTAAGTGGTTCTTCAATCTCTGTTCTCAGATTATTACTTGATTTTTTATAAAAAAAAAATTTTTGAAATAAATATTTGAGTTGTCTTTTAACACTGTTGGTTAGGGTATATGGTGGGGGATGATTATTGGGGTTCTTCTACAAACAACAACTCTAATCTTTCTCACAGCCAGAACAAACTGGAACACAGAGGTAATTAATTTCATTTTTAATCAATAGTGGATTTGGGGATCTTACTAGTTAGTTCAGTATTTCTATACCTACTTATTTTGTAGGTTGAAAAAGCTGCTGACCGCTTGAAGAAATCAGCCAATGAGGAGACACTACAATTGGTAACAGGTGTATAAGAACACGAACAACCCTTGAAGCATCTTATCGAGATGGGCTTGTAAAGGCCGGAGTGAAGCGTATTCAGAATTTGGTGGCTTGGGTTTGAGTCTCGAACGGTTTTGGATTTAACAATCCCTTGATCGAGTTGACAACTTTGGAGTTCTTAGGTTTATGTTGGGCTATCATTTTGTTTAAGTTTATACTTAAAACTTCTCATTAATAAAGCATCTTTTCTCCAAACTCTGGCCCCCTTTCCCTTTCAACTTTTGCATTTATTTAAAGAAAGCTCGTTTACTCGGGAATGTACAAGTTGGTGAATTGGCATCCAGTTTGAAGACTCTAAACAGAAAACCATCAATTTACTGTCTACCGTGTCAGGTAGAGATCAAGAAGTACCGGTGTGAGTTCACTGCGGTCGATCACAAGATGATCCAGCATTTTTTCTACAAGGATCTGATTTTACATGTAACAAGAAAAGAGTCTGCTCAAAAGCCATTAATACCAGAGATACAATCAAATCATTATAACATGGCAAGGAACTATGTATAACAGCTCTGGTGTCCAGCGAAACTCTACCTAATTTAACTCACTGATATTTTTTCATGGCTGAGGAAAACCCACCCAGGAAACAAAATTCCAGGCTTTACAAATCAACCGAGCATGCAAGTATGTACAAATTGCTTTTCTTGATAATTATCACTGATAACTATAGCTGACCCAGTTCTTCTATATCATCGTAATCTTCTTCATTGAGAAACCTAGAAAATCCATTATCCTTTGCCTCCATACACCCTACAAGTTGGTTGGCCTCTTTCTGTTCATCTGCAGTTTTTGCTAAAGATAAAAGAATGTTTTTTGCTTTCCTGTCAGGTGGAACACCAGAAGATTCCATTTCTTTATACCAAATAACAGCACTACCAAAATCCCTGTTCTTCCCATACGCATCCATGAGAGTCGTGAAGATGGTTTGATTTGCTTTGATACCCTTTAACTGCATTTCTTCATATGTCTCCATCATCTTTTCAAGATTATTTACCTTGGCATATCCTTTCATCAAAGTCCCATATGTGACAACATTTGGTTGAAGCCCATCTTGTTTCAGTCTTTTGAAGAAATTTTCAGCACCCTCCAAATCGGATGCATTGACATAAGCCGATAACATAGTTGTATAAGAGCAGATATCAGGGGTGTATCTGCAAAGAAGTACAAAGTAAAAGTTAATGTAGCTGTTTGGACCTTGCATCAATTGTACATGTTAGTGCTTCATAAGGATAAAAGGCTAACCACCTTAGAACTTGGCGGTCCTAATAGACAATCAGAAGGAGTAAAATTACACCCATTAAAAGTTCTATTGAATATTTCTCTACTTTCGTAGAGAAAAAAAGTTTCAAATGTGATGGGTATTGCTTTGCTAAAAATTGGGTGAGAAAAATACAGTGAACATCAATAGCAAGACAAACTAAAAGCAGAGAAAATTAGAAAAGGATAGCAGATATGGTGGCTTCCATGGACAGCAGAAATCAAAGAAATATTGCTTAATCTGATTGAAGGTGAATGCAAGCAAAATCTTTTTCCACTCAATTTTAAAGAAAAATAATATCTACAAAAACCATGGATTTTGAGGAACAACATTTAAGGCAGAATCACATGAGAAAAACATATGTATAACCAGATAACAATTATCATCTTTCTTTACAACATATTAGGGCTTAGATAGAATTTGAAGACTTGGATGGCAGAGGTGATTTGCACTTGGAAGAATAATAATGTAATTAAAATCAAATTGAGTTGTAGCAACTCTTTCATACATACAATAGAGAACAATAGAAATTATGTGGGCCCAGTTCCAACCATTACTTTTTAGTGTATTACTTTCCAATATGCCATCAAGAACTACATAATCACAAATAAGTTACAAATACCCCCATCCCCACGCCCTGTGACCCAAAAAAAAAAACAATGGGTTGAGCATGTGGCTGCAAATTATGTCAATTTTGAAATATAATCAAATTTCGTTCCTAAAGAAAGGTGCACATCTAAAACTAACTTTTTTAAGTACAAGAAAAATGGAATGAACTAAAATAAGATAACTAAACATAGGAAACAGAAACCATGCATTTGGAAATGTCCTTATAGCAGCTTCACTTTCAGATTAGAATACTTTACCTGTCTCTTCTCATGCTTTTGAACACAGTCCGAGCTTGCTCCACCATTCCCGAAATTGCAAATGCATCAAGCAAAATATTATATGATTTATGGGTAGGCCTGGAAAAGAGACAGAATGGGATAGCACTGAGACCTCCAAAAAAATGGTTGGGTATCAACTTTGACAGAAAGAATATATAGCTGTTAAATGGCTAGCCACAAACTTGAAAGTTAATTAGTAATGAAACTGAACTCTAAATTAAACCCCAAAAAAGAAGTTGATGGTTAGAAAGAACATATAGCTGTTAAATGGCTAGCCACAAACTTAACAGTCAATTAATGAATGAAAACCAGAAAACTGAAATCTCTAAATTAAACCAGAAAAAGAAATTAATGGTTAGTCACTTGCTAATGGCATGATGAAGTTGGCATTATGCACCACTAAATCAACTGTATCTTGTCCACTCTCCTCATATTGGTATTGCATCTATATCCATGAGGATGCACAGTAAATAAATCGGATATGAATCCGTATTATTCTTCATGCATACAAAGAATGATCACACATTCTTCTACTCTGGCTAAAGCCGGTATAAGAAAGAATACAAGATCACCGGGCACACTGGTAAGATATTGCCCTAGATTTAAGTCACAAAATAAGACATGTTGGTTTGCCTCACTTCTAATTATGACTTCAATCATCAAAGTCAATTTAACCAGTCCAATGAACTATTCCTAACACCAGAAACCATTATTACTAGAATAAATCTAAGATGCAAACAACTACGTTGCATCAACCTTTTAGGGAATCAAAATGTTTTTTGGTACAAATTGACATGTCCAGGTGTAGGGGGGAGTTGCACCCTAGACCTTTAACCCTCTAATGGAGTGTTAACAACCAAATTACTGAAGGTCATCTATTAAGAGGCCAAACTGTTCTGACTAGACTTATAATTTTAAATCAGAAATATGAGGTGCCAAATATGAAAATTAGTGAGTGTCTTTGCTGAATTCACTTCCTGTTCTATTTTTCAAGTGAGCATGGCAGTTGAGAACCATCAACTCTACATTAGAAGCGAGTAAAAAGCTCAACCTACTGACTACATTAGTTTCATATTAAAGCACAGTGGGATCTAACTTGGTTATACAAGTTGAACTTGCACACCTGATTCCAGCATCCAGCATCTCCTCAAAAACAGCCAAAGCTTCCTCTTCCCTCCTAGCTTTTCCATAAGCATTAATGAGCAAGGCATAACTCACAACATCAGGCCGAAGACCAGCTCTTTGCATCTAAAATACCATTTTTATTTTGAAGTGTTACAAATTTATCATCAATGAGAAAGAACAAAGAACTCAAAAAGATTAGACACTGGTATAAGGACAAGAAGCACTCTGTGTCTATTTTCTTGCAGCAAAATTATCGTATCCACCATTTCAAACTTTTGTTGGATTTTGGTATTACCTAAGTACAATAAACCATACAATACAGGATAACTGAGGTGTTTTTAAATTAAGATGCATGGGACTATTTCAGCACACATACATAACAGATATGCCTATACTTACATATAGTAAAAAAAATGTGATTACCCACAAGGGCATTTTGCAAGTGCGACACATTTTTGAAAGGTCAACATGAATATCCATGAATGTCAAAACCAACAAATTGATAAAGCTATCAGAAATATGGATATATACAATAGATGTATAAATGAGGGAAAAAGAACATTAATATCACTCTGAAAATCAAATGTTTTATGCAGCATCTTCTAGTACTAAAACATAACATAAAATTATAAGGTTAGCTGTTGACAATATTTTTGCAGTGGATATTGCAACAACTCCAAAAAGTTTAAAAAAGACCATATGCAAAATTTTCCCACTTCACTGGTTAAGTGCATTTTTGAAGCAGATATTTCAAGATCATAACATGCTGATTAAGAACTTTACCAACTAGACCTTTATAATCTAAAAAAAAAATTGCAGTCACAACCTCAGAATTTGAAAATCCAGCAAAGACCCACAAGATCACATATGTGTCAGATTTTTCTTCCCTCAAATAAATAGAACCACCAGAACACCAATTTCCAACAATCTTTTTTCAACAGAAACATACCCAGAAGGAGGTCTTGATTAAGGATTTCACACTCAATGTAGAGAGCTAAGTATGACTCCAACACAGATTTTTTTTTTAAATAATTTTTTATTGCAAAATTTGCTTAATTGTGTGATGGCTTTCATTTGTTTATGTGCAATTCAGTCTTTAGTTTCTTAAGCTACAAATTTTAACTAAAGTACAAGGAAATATTACCATAGGACCACTGATTAAACATAATTTTTTTTTTTTGAAAAGACTGATTAAACATAATTTATCGACCAAGATGATCAAAATAAGATCTATATGCTATCCTCAATTGAGACCACTACTAAATACCTCATCTTCGTACTGTTATAAATGGAATATCAAGGATATGGTGGCCAAAGCAGGATGATATTAAAATTTGAGAACATAGAGGATCATATAGAAAAATGAATGGAACTTTATGATTTCAGCATCAGCTAAATGATAGAAAACAACATTATCTCTTGGTATGTTGAAAAATTTACATGAGCAGGATAAGTTATCAAAACAAAATATTGGACATCATATGACCTCAGAAAATTCAACAATCATTCCAAAGTTCCTCTTTGATTAGTGGGCTGAAGAAAAATTGGTGCAACTTATGATTTCCATAAAATTTTCTTTCAAAAAAAATGTATAACTACATCCACATGCTATAATACATAAAGACATGAAAAGTAGGTCAGATAAGGCACAAAAATTCTACCTGATCATATATCTTTGAAACTTCCTTGTAATTAGTTTCAAATGTCATAAGACTATTGTAAGTGACTGTGGATTGCTTAACTCCCCGTTCAGCCATCAGTGCAAATAGTTTACGTGCCTTCTCATAACTCCCAGCCTTCTTATACATATAAATCATCATGTGGAACATTTTTTGGTCCGGCTTCAAAGGTGATTTTTCCTTATCCAAAAGTGTCTCAAAAACTTCTTCGGCTTCCTTAAATTTCTTTCCCTAACAAGATATTGAAAGATGGATGCTCAGATAAAAGAGTACAGACAAAAATATAATGAAAACAAGAAGGCAAACAGCAACCAAACAATTTGAAATATGCCTTAGTTAACATAGTCTCCTTTTCTGGAAACCCAAAATGGATGCTCTGCCTATAGCATATTGTGGATAATTTTTTAATAGATCTATATAAATTAATTTTGTAAAGAATGAAAAAGTTTTAAAGAAGATAAGAAAGGGTTTTTGAAGAAACAGACTACCTCAACTAGTATTTTAAGTATTATTTGATATGTCAGAGCAGAAGGTTCAGGGCCTGAAGACTGCATCCTTCTAAAGATAGCTTCAGCATTATTGTATCGACCTCCTCTTCCATATGCTTCCATAAGAGCAGTATGTGAGACAACACTTGGTGCATAACCCTTTTTATTTATAAAGCTCATAATTCTCTCAGCCTTGTTGAAGTCCCCTTGCTTTCCATATGCTGTTATAAGCATTATGAAATCCATTTCACCGAAGTCCCACCAGCTCTGTGCTCGAAGCCACTCAAGGATCTATAGGATAAAAAAGATTAGCATATAATGAGCAATTAGAATATAAAAATCACACAGTTTCACATTTACACAATTTATAATTCAAAAGATCTGGTCTATTGTAAACATAAAATGAAAAAAAAAATGTCTGTTTTTTTACAAACTAGGAACATATTATTGTTCGCAAGAAACTCAAAGCTCAAGTCATTTTCCAAAGTAGGTGGTTGCATTTCTGTCTGATAGTAAGTCTATCTGTATTTCATCCCTGCTCTTTTCCCCCTTCACTCCGTGTGTGTTTGTTTCTAAATTGATCAAAAGAACAGCAAGAACAAAGTAACTGGTACCAAGGGCATAGCCATGAAGTTTTGCCAAAAATAAGCTGAGACACTGTTGCACCAAATTCATTCCTGGATGCATTTAATTATGCCTTCTATTTTGGCTATAGTACTTTTTACCTTTTCACGAAATAAAATGGTTTGCTTTTGCACTATAATGACAACACCATCATACTGGCGCCTAGTTAGATTTCTTATATTAAGGGGGAGTTATGTGTTGAAATTTTATCAGCAATCAACAAAAAAATCCATTAAGTCTCCTGAAATTCAAAAGTTCTTTAGTGTTGTATTTGATCAATATCAGTCAGAAGCATAAGTTGGGCAGATTGTTAAAACTCACTCAAGACCTAGAGCATATTTATTGGCAAAGGAAACATTGCAAATAGGTAAAGTTAAAAATGTTAAATCATATAAGGCTCATAACATAGATATATTTAATGAAAGATACCTCACTAACATATTGCCATTTTTTCATCTGCTTAAATCTAACCAAGGTGCCTAAAACCAAGTCTCTAGGAAGAGATTCTTCATTAGTCCGTTGGCGTCTAAGTACTGTAGAAGCAGAACCTGTGTCCTCGATATCCTTCATCAGTCTCCTCCAGCTCTTCTGATTAGCTTCATCAGCTGCATCTTTGAAATGTTCCACTTTCTTCCTCTTCCTCAAAAATTTTCTTGGAGCCAACATTCCCATTGAGATTACCCCAACTAAAGGATTATTACCGTCTGCTTTCAGTAACCTGAAAAAAGAAAATATACAAACCACCAGAATTCAACCCAATGAAAAAAGGCATTCAAAATATAGAATCTTTAGTAAAAGAAGAGAAATGGGTAGTGATAAAAAGGAGAGAAAAGGACCTTGGGGATTGTCCAACTTTGAGAATTGCATGTTTAGTTGAGAAGTAAAGCTTTGGGGGAAGCGGGTCTCCCACAAGAGTTGTAGAAAAGGTAAGGCGAGAATTGTTGGCCTTCACAGAGGGCAGTGGCGACCGTCTGAATATGTTTTGGTGAAGCCCGTAGCCAATCGAAGCAGAAGGAGATGTCTCCATTTCTCCTTCCGAGTTCTAAGTTCTAAACGAGGATAGAAATAGATACGTTCTTAGCACAGTATATGAATATAAATACGGTTACATATTTTATGTAAGGAAACATGAAAAATATCCATGCCTCTTTTTAAAAATATTTTTTAATTACTATTAATTTATTTCTTTTAGTAGTTAAAATGGGGAAAATCCAAATTAGGAAATCCAAGTGCAGGATTATTACTATTAAAAAATCATTTTTTAGTATTCACAAAATAAAATAATTTGTTTAATGCATACAGAGATTGAAGACCTTAATTTAATATGAAAATAAAATTTGATTGATTAGTATGATAATGTTGCCGTTTTTAATGTATTCATTTGAATTATATCAAATACTTAACAATTTATGTATGTGAACATTTGATTTAATTAACTATTACATATATTTCATGTTCAAAAATTTTAATTTAAATTTTTTACCTTAAAAAAATAAAACAATATATCATTCAATCATTTAACTCAATAAAAAATATAAATTTATTTTATTCAAAAAAATTAAGTTTGTATTCTTTTTTTTCGAAGTAAAAAAAATAAAAGCCAAAAATATGAAAACTTAAATTACTATTTTGCCATCATAGAGAGCTTGCCGCTTTGGTAACCATTGTATCTTATATGCAATGATTAGTTTTACAATGAACCAAAAAAAAGTAGAGACATGTGAAACAACCAGTTTTTTTTTCTCCTCTTTATCTTTAATTACAGTAAATCTGTAAAATAAAGATCAAAGCAATATGCAATTGATACAGAAGCAAGATTAAGCAAAAGAATAAAATTTACTTGTAAAACAGCAAGAGGCATGCTAAGCAATAAATCCATCAAAGACTTTTGGACAGCCCCTTTAGTACTTTTCCTACAATTGAACCAAATTATCAGGAGTTTGCTCTCTTTTTTGATCTTATTTTCCTTCCCAATATTCCAGTCCCATTTGACTTGATCCTTTCTTTATGGTAGCAAGGAAGCAACAGAGTGCAAAAGTGCCAAAGGCACAAATTCCAGGAGCCATCCCTGTACTCAGGGGAAGGTGATGTCGATTAAAGTTACATTTACAGATTTGGCTGCAAAAAAGTTTGAGAAAATGAACACCAAAATAAAAAAGAAACGATGAATATTATAAAATAGAGAATTTTACAACCTAATACCTGAAATACTTGGGTGCCTGTCAAAGGAGAGATCTAAAGCTTTCAACAGGATCCGACTCTTCGAGTATATAGGCTGCCCGGAGGGAATCTGTGGCTTCAGTAAGGCGCCCATCATCCTTCTGTATCATACCTAAGTAATACCAAGCCTTATGGTTGGTAGGTTCAATCCTCAATGCATCTGAGAGTAAGGTTCTTGCCACAGGCAATGAGTTCGAGCCCATCTTGGACAACATTGCACTAATCAGTACTTTGCATGGTGCATAAGATGGTTCGAGCAAAATAGCATTAATATAAGCAGACATTGCTTCTTGGATTTCTCCACGTTCTTGACACATAATGCCTGGAACATTCATTAAAGAAACAATTATTACCAAGATAATTATCTGGAATGAGTCCCATTTTGCTCTCCATAACTATCACCACGAAAACATAAATGTTCCTATTTTTTAGAAGCAACCAATTCATAAACTACATATGCACCAATTCTGTTTCTGAAAAACACTGGCATTGCGTCTCACCTGGGTAAGCCGCTCAAAATTGAAATTCTTCATAATAATTCAAGAAATTTTCAACCAAGCAGACAATTTCAATCAATGCTATTCCAACAATGAATCTCTTAAATGTTTTCTAAATGGGCTTTCACCATTCACTGTTATGTGCTTAATCAGATCTGTGCAAAAATCTTTAAAAACTATCTGAGTGACAATACTATGTAGCCCCAGGAAAAAATCTTATTTACAAGAGTTGATAGATTGAGAGAATGATTGGATCAGAGTCCAACTAAGTCTCAAATATGATTTCTGCAATTTTTGACAAGATGGCTTGAGAGTTAAACTACCATAACAAAGAAAGCAACAATGAGAAAAAAAAAGAAATAAAGATATCTAAGATTTTATTTTGTAAAAAAAAAAAATCCCTTCTACTTTGATCACAGCACATATGTTAAGGCTCTATTACACTCGGTCTCTAAGCAACTAGTGCCCAAAATTGATTGACATCTAACAAACCACAAACTATGACACTTAACCAGATCCAGCTATATACCAAATAAATTCTAAAACATTATAAAATGTTATTATAGAAAATCAAATCAAAGGCCATAAAACAAATAATTACCCAAACACAATGCAAAAGCAAACTAAACAGTCCTAATCTCTTTTTTAAATTCTTTAGTTAGCCAAGAAAAGTTTTGTCAATCCCGAAGATAATTAGACTGAAAATAAGTAGGAGATGAATCCATTCCATTGATGGGATAATTATGATAATGTGAATATTTTGAGACTCAAAGTTAGAAAACCCATTCTATTGTTTTGCAAAACAACAAAATAGAATAAGTTGCTGGAATTTTATTCTAACTCCTTGCTCAAAATTAAAAAGTCTTCAAACTGGAAACATAATCTCCTCCTCCAAAGCAGAAAAAGAAGAAAAAGGAGGAAAACAAAAGAATACCATATCTGTGACAACCATATGAGATGGTTCTTGAGAAGGTGAAAGTCCAGAGTTTGCAAGTGCATAAAACTGGTTGATCCCAGAATCACAGTTTTTAGTCAAAAACCATTCAAGATCCAGTTCAGTTCATCAGATATAAAAAGCAAATAGTCCATCTAAACATGTGATGTATTTTTTCTTCATCTGAAAGGATTTCTGTGTGAGACAGCTTATTCTATCTTGATATAAAAACCTAATCACATGCCTTTTCAGAACAAATGCCTTAGGAAGGTTGCCTTGCATAAGAGATGCTAGACCTAGCATGTATTTAGGTTTGTTCTCAGGTTTCCTTTAAGCAAGGAGGTGCATCAAAATGGACAGTTTTCAACAGAAATATTTTCTTCTTTAATTTATCGGCAGAGATGAGAATGTTAAATTGGGTATGTAAGCATACAAGGAAGATAAGATCAACAATGAATGCAAAAGGAAAAGGTGGAGATCGCAAACATTGAGGACAAATCAAAAGCCTTTGGACATTTAGAAAAAAAAACACCAGCAAATGCCCCCATGAGAAGATGTGATTTAATGAAGGATATTCATGCCACGAGGAGCGGAGAACCAAAGAGAACATGGATTAAAACTATAAAATAAGTATCTCATGTTTAATGGGTTTACTGAGGATAATATCTTACCCTAAGCCCAGTTCATGGACAGGTCTAGTAATGTGACAAGCATAACATAGCCAAACAAGCAGAATAGGTATTGGATTTATTGAAAAAGTTCATCTTCATAGACTGGACTTCTAGTACTTGTAATTCAATTAGGACTTACCCAAAGGCTCAGACTCCAGACAAACAACTAAAAGGATTTAATGCTAAACAGTTTTTAGACCTAAAATAAAGGCTCACAACAATAAAAGACTCAAAATAAGACCAAAGATTATTGTTCCACCATTCTAGAAAAGCTGGAGCTACTGAAAGTTCTATTGGGTTGTTACTTTTACTACTTACTTTTTGCTTTTATATGCAAAAAGGCAAATATGCTCTGTACAAAAACAAATTCATACTTTTGAAGAATTAAAAATATTGTTTTCATGGATATCAAAACCCATGATTCAAAGAGGAGCAATTATGTTTGAATTTCTTTTGTTTTTAGTCATTTGCTCATTTTAAATCATAAATGTAGTTTTCCTCTTCTTATTTGCTTATAGCAACTTCTTTGGAAGCAAAGAGCGTATAGAAGAAAACAATCAAATGGAACTCAAAACATAGATCAAATGCTTAAGATTAAATAGGGTTATTTTAGCTGGTCTATGTTCTAAACAAGACCAACATTAGGTAAAGACTTCAGTTTCCAATATTCTTGGATTTAAATCTGGATTTTTCCTTTTTCTTTTTTTTTTGGTGACATCTCTGTCGTCTTGTCAAGAGAAGTTTGATCCCTACCAGATCACAAGGCAAATGTTTTAAATGTTTGGTGAACATGTCCAATTAAAGTCTTGAAAGTGGCTTATATATTAAGTATTCTGAACCTTTCGGTCTGTGCATCAGAGTTGAAGCTGTTATGCAATTTACCTAATCCATTAGTCCTTCAGCTCATAAGCTAGTCCATGAGAACTGCTAATTTGATTCAAATGTTTGTTCCCATAAATAGGCAACCAACTTCATTAAAAGATTATAAGCTTTTCAAGTAGAAAGTAGAAAGGTAAAAAGTTGGGTCATTCAGTAAATAAGGTTTCAAATCTTGCCTTCTGTCAGCAGCAGTTTGGCGGAATACGGCTTCATCTCTCTGGCTTTTTTCAGACATATTTCTACATCCTTCCAGTGTGAAAGACTAGAGTACAGATTTGCGAGACCATGCCAAACTTCAAATTCATTTACTTTATCATCCCCAACCTATCAGTAAAAACAAGAACCTAAAGATTAATGCAGAAACAATAACAACCAGAACACTGAACATTTACCATACTCAACCCAGCTCAACTAAGCCTTAATCCAGGGCTAGGCCTAACCAAAAAGTTCGTTATAAAGGAGGGAAAAGAAAAAGCAAACGCAAGTCAAAGAAACAAATAATAGCAAGACAACACAAACAGTAAAAAGTTAGAAGTACAACAAAGATGGCAAAACAGCAATGTCATCAAAATTCCAATATAAAGCGTTTTATACAACAACAAGCTAAGTCTTTTCCCACTACATGGGTTGGCCAGATGGATCCTACTAAGCAATTGTCTCTGTTTGGATCTATATCCTTCACGAGATCTGTAAAACCAATGGACTCTCTGGTAGTTTCCAGCAATGTCCCCTTTGGTCTTCACTCCCTCTTTTGGCAGGCATCATCAATTAAGTCAGAACTCACAACTTCTGCACGAGCATTTGTAGGCCTCTGTCTCACATAGCCAAACCATACTAAATCATCCTCATTTGTAGGCTTGCTATACATACAATGCATTCTAATTTTAAAATTTAAGAACCATGTCATCATCCCTCATATATCACACATAATTGCCTGATAAATATAAAAGAGGCAATGAAATTATAGCATCTGCTCTAGAAAAAGCCTCTTCAAAGGGCATTTTTCTCATGAGGCAATTATTTAAACTCAATTTCACTATTATTTGAAGAGTGAACTTTACAATGAACAACTTGATACAAACCCCTAATGTTTGAAACTCAAAACCAACTACAGTTTTAATTGGTAACACAATTAAAGCACATTGACGTCATACCTGGCATATTTTTCATTCAATAAGCATAGTGTTTCACCGGTTTAAGCAACCAAAAGTAATTTACTAAGCTAAATTTCTATGTAAAATAGTGCAATGCAACAACCTATGCCTCTTGTATACTATTGTGCTAATTAATTTGGTAACATATTGCATTAGGGGCAGTTAAAAGTGGCAAGAAACAAACTTAACAACATTCATAAGAAATATTATTATGAAAAACCTTTTTATTTGTTAAAACAAATAAAGAAGATTCTGAATTGAACCTGAGAATCAATTCTCATAGGACCAAATGATTTTCTTTGGGCCTGAACCAATGCAAGGAGGTAACGGTAAGTTTCAATAGCATCCATGGGTCGTGATTGGGAGATCTCCAGTTTTGCTTTCAGCCTGAGCAGCGGTCCTTGCTCCCATTTAGCAGTCTCATCCAAAGCAGCATCAGTGACTACCGCAGCCTCTGAGAATCGATGTTGAGCAGACAAAACTAGAGCAAGCAATCTCCAACCTTTTAATACGGAGCCACCTGTTACATCAATGTACTTCTTTGCATAATGCAAAGCAGCATTCAAATTGCGCTGCTCTGCATATTGAACTCCCAGCTCAAATATTATATCAGCATTGTCCGGCTCCAAAGAAATAGCTGCATTTAAAAATATTAGTGCTTCAGACTGAAGATGAAACCTTTCAGAGTCTTTGAGAGCAATTTTAGCTAGCTGTCTCAAACAAAGACCTAACATACGAAAACCAACACCCTTCAGATGTCCATCCACCCCTTGGGCATTATTGATTGCCCTCTGTGCATATCCTACTCCCTCAGCCGCAAGATGAGAATCCTCACTACAGATCTTGGCAGCCAACAACAATGCTGTGAGATCATTAGGTCGTTCATGTTTATGCAGAGACTTCCTTAGTAGATTCAAGGCATATTTATTCTGTCCTGCACCACTGCAACAAAGAGCTAAGGTATTCCAACGGTCAATACGATGCAGTACTCCAGGCTTGAGCTCTTCTAGCTGCTTAGATAAAACAGGAGTTTGGCTGCATAGAGAGAGTGCATATGTTAAGTGATCCATAACAGATGGATCCCACTGTATTATACCTTGGTGAATTTTTTGCATAAGAACCATCAAAAGCAGAATAGCCTCTTCCAAATTATTCTTTGGTACATAAGCACCATCAACTTGAGCACCTAAACTAGGAGGACCAGCCTCCAACCCACTATACAAGAGAAAAACTGCAAATGCTTTCTGAATCCGTGCACAACAATCATTGTCTAAGTTCCATAGATGGAGAAGTCCACGTCTGTAAGCAGACATTGCTTCTTGAAAATTACCAGCCTGCTTCCAAAGCTCTGGAAGCAGCTCAACAGCTTGACTAACTGTCTCCTGCAATCGATTCTCAACTTGCACACCAGGTATGCCTTGAGGAAATATCCTTCCCACGGCATCAAGCACATTTGTACAATCCTGAGCAGCCTCTACAAAACCAATAAAAACAACCTTCAACTTTCTTTTTCTGGTATAAAAGGGAAGACAGGTAGCTCTCTTCTCGTCTAAGATTCAAACAGGCCTCCAAAATTTAAACTTTAACGCAGAATGAAAAAAAAATAATAAAAAAAAACCGATAAAATGAAGGTGAAATGTGAATCTTTCTCAATACCAGTAAATCTTCCAAGCTTTTGAAGCGACTTGGCCTTCAAGTAAACACCTTCAAGAACGAGGCTGGCAGCGTGTTGCGAAACGGCAGGCTGCGAATCACGATTAGCACGGCCTTTTTTATGAGAGGAGATGGAAGTAGAATAAGACGAAAAGGAAGAGGAATTAGAATTCTCATTAACGGAAGGTTGCAGCCGTTGGATTGCAGCTTGCAGGTCAATCCCATCAAAAACCCGAAGTGCCCCTTCTACATTTCCTCTTTGATACTCTAATCTTCCCAAAAGAGCCCTCGCTTCCTTCAAGAAAATCAAATTCTCCCTATTTCAGATCACCGAAAAAAAATTAAAGAAAAAGATATATTGGCAGTTTGGAAAAACACAACAAACCTCAAAATTAAGGGACAAGCCTTCGCGCAAAGAAGATTCAGCTTCTTGGATATTGCCTTCGTCCAGTTTGGCTTCAACGTCTGTTGTTCTCATGCAAACCCCATTGGCACAAAGCTCTCGGACCGTTGCAAGTTCTTGGCTTTGGCTATCATCCTCAGCCATTGTACGATTTTAGATTCTGTGTATGGATCGGTGGCCTTTTAGCTTAGTTTTTTTTGTTCGAACATTTGTTTAAACAATGCTGTTTAAGGATCTGCAGAAGAAGGAAAGTCAAATGTTTTTGGAGTGGAGGGGACGAAGGATTCGGATCCGTTTGCGGTCCATGGCCAGTCACCCCCACTGCCTCTGCCTGCCTCTTTTCTTTTTTTAATCACGCCTGTAAGTCCGCCGAGAAACAAAAATTATGTCAGAAACAAAATTAAGTACTGAAATTCTTATTTCAAAAAATAAATATTTTGATTTTACTCTTATTACAAATATATTATAGATGATTTTTTTTTCTCCTTTAAACGAGAAATGATATGATTTTACACTACGTAACGTGCTATTTATTTTCTTTTAAATGAAACACTTCTAAAATAAATTCAAAATTTTCAAATATTTAATTTAATAATAAATATATATTTTTCATATAAATTTAGTTTAAATTTTACCAAAACTTTCAGATGAATTTCTTTTCCCTTTTGAACTATTTATATCGATATTTTAAAAAAAAACACGTTTGAATTATGTTCATAATATCTTAAAAAACAAGTTTAAATTATGTTCATAATATCAAATTATTAGATCTAATATAACTATATGTATTTTTTTATTTAAAACGTGGTGTTTTTTGTTGTTTTGGTAGAGACTAAAAAAGAGCTAATCCAACAGAAATAATCAAATATTCTGGCTCCCAAAAGTAACATATTCTATATCTATTTCATGCCCTAAGTTGCCCAGAGCACCAACAAAACTAGCCTTACAAAATATGAAACAACTTAGGACATCCGAAAAGACCAAGGAACAAAAAAAGATGACTGCAGGGAATAATTTTAGCAAGCCGCAGAATATGGGGTTTGTATTATATATTCTTTTAATCCTCACTTTCTGCATTCTAAGGTCAGGCTATGCTTCTGAAGCCAAGTGATTTTCACAATTTCAGAATCCCATTGAGATGCACACGTGAGTCGATGCTGTTCTTCTACTTGCACTTCAAAACTCTACCGAAATACACCTTTATGGCTTGGTTTAGTCAGCCCTTCAATAAGCCTAAACATCCAACGATCTAGCATCCCTGTTTTAATTTGACACAAATATACCGTTTATTAACCATAATAACATCCAGGAGTAAGCATATGCAGATGGAAAAAAGGTTCTAATTTTTAACTCGTAAAGGTGTCAATAGTTTTCCACTTAAAGTTCTAAGCTTTCAAATAAAGCAAGCTGCAAATGTGGCAAAAAAGAGAGGCTTTAACCTGATGTTAAAGGTACTCAAAGGTCCAAAACACAGCCAAACCCATATTTGAACTTACATAAAGTACTAAATAACAGCCAAACACCACATGATAATCAATTTTGACCACCTAGATTCCGCAATTTGTCCGAATTTGCAAACTTTAAATAACTTGGATCATTTACAGAATGACTATAGATCACAAACCTGTTAAAGCAAATGTTCCACCCAATACTGCACAAAGTCGAGTGATGAAATGGAGAAAGCTTCGGCGCTCTTCTTTTATTGTCACAGTGATTGGTGACAGATCATACAAAAAGTAAACAGCTGAACGGAGGGGTAAAATATTTAGTAACCGCTAACCAAAGAAAAGAGAGAGAAGTTTACAAAGTCACACTTCCAACCAACCTGGCCATGTCCTATCAAACTCATGCATAGGGGAAAAATATTCTGAGACGGAGAATTGATTAGTTGGCAAAACTTCCTTTGAGATATATCTGTACTCCGTAGGGACAATCTGCAACACAGTAAAAAGAACACTAGGATGAGAGATTTCAAGTTTAAAACAACTGTTTTCTCCAGGAATGGAAGAAGAGAAATATAAAAGGGCAAACTGATGTTCCATCTCTACTATAGAAGTAGTATCAGTGAATGTGCTGAAATGCAACATGAAACAGCTTGTTACTATTTTATGGAATTCCATGCAGTTCTAAAACTAACACCATAGTTAATAGGGGAGAACAACTGTAAACATATTCGGTGAAACTATATTGTTAAAAGGGTCAAGAGTGGAGCATAGAGGCAGAGAAGCAGAATGTACCTAGAGAGGAGGACCTGGCAATGCTTATAGGATGTTGCAAAAGAATAGAAAGGATAGGTATGAAAAAATGTAGCAGTGTCACCTTTTAAGTGAAGGATAAAAACAACCACATCGTAACAAGGTATTCTTAGTGCTCAGGAGAAATATTTTGGACCAATCAAAAAGCTTTGTATTGTGTCTCTTCTCAACGAATCATGGAACATTGTCACACCATAAGAGATGAAACACAGTTCAGATGATTACACACTAGATGACCACTACAATTTTTCGCTCGAGCATTAACAGAGAGAGAGAACACTAAGGGAGGTTTTAACTCTACTTTATAAACCCAGTGAGCAATAGCTACCATGCACAATTTGACCACTTACTAGATCCTGAAGTTCATCAACCAAAAGACAATTGCCCGATCAATTTAATGCAGAAAACAAGGATCATCAATTTGCACACTCTAGTTGTAGAATTGTTGCAAAATGGACAGTTCTATGAGATATTTGCAAAATGTCTGTTCCTTAAGGAGGCTGAGGGATAGTGCCATAATTCTTTGGTCAATCAAGAGTATGATCGAAATTCAAACCTTTATGTAATACTTGAATGTTCCACTTGCGTCATGCAGAATCCGCACAGTACCATCAAGTGGGTTGTGAAGTCCTGGATACTTTGGCCCAAATGATAAATCATGAATCATATGACTTACATTGACATGTGTTGCTCCTCCAAAGATCTGTCAGCAAAGAAAAAAGGACTTCTACTTAATTAGCACATGACAAAGAGAAAGCCATGTGAAAAAGAAACTAAATATGGCAGTATTCTAAAAATCCTCATCACTCTTAAGTGCCAAGAAACTAATAGAGAAAACTCTGTAGATAAATCTAGCACATTCTTTCAAACTAGATTTAAAAGTTTAAATCCCTCACTCTAATATAATGCTTCAAAACATTCAGTTAAGACCAAATTGGTAAAAATGACCAATCATGCTCTTCACTAGTCAATCAAACCTGAAAAACAAGAACCTTTACAACGAGCTAGCATTACTCGCACGAAAACATAACCAAGACAAAGGTGAATACATGCATAATTTAGGATATGACATGAAACTAGATTGCTAAGAGTAAAAGCTACTAACCATTTGAGCAACATAAATGTTTAACCCATGAACTGAAATGTGGAAGTTTCCAGCCACCCTTTGAACATCTAATACCCCATAAACCTGCAGAAAATGTCACGTTAATAGATTAACTTCCTTTATATTCTTTCCATTATAATCCTTTGATGGCCCAAAAAAAAAAACTAATTCATTAGATAAAAAAAGTTTATAAAGTTAATAATTAAGGAAATCTTTATAGGACAAATACCCGGCATCCTTCTCCATTGGCCAATGCTTGCTTCACCTTCTTGATCATATTTTCAGCTTCTTGATCAAAGCCGAGTGCATGAAGCTTTTTATCAGAATCATCATGATGTTCCTTCTCATCATCTGGTCATATTCATTACAAAAAATTAGTTATTTGAATTACTAACTTATGCCTTGGAGAAACATCACATGAACAACATCTCTCTCTTTCTTTTTATATATATAACACATGAACTATCAGTGCCCTAAATGAAGGTATGACAAATCAATATCCATAAATATATGCAGTAATGTATCCTAACAGAAAACGAGAAAAAATCCCTAATATATCTAAATAAATCTGCTGAGCAATTAGGTCATTTCTACAAAAGGAAATGATAAAAAAATCCAAACCTTGAAAAGTGGCTTAAGCACAAAGTTACAAATATTGCTTAATAATTCAATGAACATGCTTTTACTTTATTTTTAAAGTGACTTGCATCCTTTAGGAGTTGAGCATGGTTCTTTTAGCATTTAATGCCATCTTTACTTGGCGATTTTCAATGTATAGATTCAAATCTTCCATGTTAGAACACAAGGGCTTCTCAATAACAGCAAAAACAAGAGAAGAAACAAAGTAAAATGTGGGTGAAGATGAGAAGAGTGACAGATGAAACATTAGATCTTTTGCACCACTCAAATTTTAGCTAATTAATAAGCCTAGGGACCTATACATTGAACCCAACCCAATCACCAAAAGGAAACATCACCCTTGTCAGCTAAAGAAATTAGACTCTTATCAAAAACTAGCCCAACCCTCCTTCCATCTTAAATTCTCAATGCAGGATACCATGACCTATATGCATATTACAGATACTTTACTACTTAAGCATGTATCATTACTTCCCCCTTTTTCCATCTTTTATGATTCCCAACTTCTTCGACTTGCTCTAAGACGTGTGATATTAGTAGAGGGCAGCACTAGATGGAGACTTGGTAAAAGACAGATTTTTTTTTTTTAACGAAAAAACTTTTTATATGTATTTAATGAAGAACAATATTCAAGAGAAGGAGAGTTCTTAGTATGATAGTTCGGAGATGAAAGCCCAACTTCCAAGGTAGCTCTTTTTGCATGAAAACATCTTGAAGATGAGATCTGACCATTTCTAATCTATGAAGAAGAGAAAAATTCAAACAAATCTAACCCTTTGGTGCTTTTATTGTTTTGTCTCCACTTATCTCCCCCAACCCCCTAAAAAAGGGCAAAAGGAAAAGCAAAGTATCGACTATCATCTACATGATGCAAATGATGTTGCCTCCTCAATAAATATAACAATGTCCAGATAACTTAATCAGATATTGTGAAAATGGATGGAGCTCCCAGAAGGATAAATTAAATTAAAACCATGAGGTATATGTCAAACACCAAAGATAATACCATGCTTGTGAGCTGCATGCTCCTTTTCCACAAGGTCAGACAAATATTCAGTGCCAATGATTTGACCATGACTGCTCAGGCGAAGCTGCAAGAAGTCTAACAAGGTTAGCTAGATAACAAACAAGAAAATCTAACCATAAATCCCACATTCATCTCTAAAGGAAAGAAGGGGCTTCATAAGACGA